ACAGCTTCAAAAGTGGCAATTTAAAATATAAACTCTCATCAGCACCAGCATCATCATCATCATCAACGTCAATCAACACAGCAAGCATATTGCTGCAGTGGGTGGAGGAATGGCCCACATACACATGCACCACGGCAATTCACCACATACACACACAACACCACTGCAGCATGGTGGATAAGGTTGGATAAGGTTGGTGTCTTGACTATATTTACGGATAATAAAATTTTTCGCGGAAAATTTTTTTATCCGTGAACAAAAAACATTGTTTTTTTTGTTTTTCCATCCAATTTTCGCGGAAATCGATCAACAAAATCAAAAAAATAATCAAAAATCATTAATTTTGGAAAAAAATTTGATGAAAATTAATAGTATAACAGATTTATAACAGTATAACAGTTAACGGTGCCGCCATCTATTGATTGTTATTCACAATTGTAATGCAGGGTCGATATTTTATATTTGCATCTGTGAGTTGAGCGACATCTATCAGATACGAATAACAACAACTAGTGGTGGGTGTCAATGCTAAACAGGGTGTATTCAAAATATATTACTGCAGTTACTGAGAGGAGTTTAACAATTTACTTGTTTTTTTTTTTTGTATACCCTTCACCACACTGTGGTACAGGGTATTATGTCTTTGTGCATATGTTTGTAACAGGCAAAAGGAAACGAGATATACACATGGTTCCTTTTGAGAAGATGCATATAATCACTTTCTAAGTCGATTTACGCATGTCCGTCTGTCCGTCCGTCCATGTATTTTTTTGAACAAAGTACAGGTCGCATTTATTATCCGATTTGGATGCAATTTGGCATAGCGTTATGAATTAGGTATAGAATGATGTGTGTTAAGTTTCCTGAAAATCGGTTCAGATTTAGATATAGCTCCCATATATATTTTTGTCCGATTTAATGTAAATGGTGCACCAAAGTCCCTATATATCTATCGATTTGCCCGAAATTTGGCACAGCGTAATGAATTAAGTATAGAATTATGTGTGTTAAGTTTCCTGAAAATCGGTTTAGATTTTGATATAGCTCCCATATATATCTTCGTCCGATTTATTGTAAATGGTCCACCAAAGTCCCTAAATATCATTCGATTTGCACGAACTTTGGCTGAGCATAATGAATTAGGTCCAAAATGATGTGTGTTAAGTTTCCTGAAAATCGGTTCAGATTTAGATATAGCCCCCATATATAGCATTTCCACATTAAATGAAACCTTTTCCAAATTAAATGAAACCTTTTCCACTTGAAATATAACCTTTTACAAATAATTTTAAACTTTTTCCAAATTAAATGAAACCTTTATTCTTACAAATATATAATATATGGCTAATTTTAAACCAATATTTGAAAATTAAATCAAAGAATATTCAAATATAGTTGTATGGCTATGTAATTAACATAAATATTCTTTATTTCTTTACATTTTAATAAATAAATATTTAAGAGCAAGAATTGAATACCCGGTCCTAAATGCGAAATACATATTTGTCTTAATAAATTGTTGATGATAAGGTAACTGCTTATCTGTTTTTTTTTTTATGCAAATTATGCTCTCGTGTAATGATTATGCTACAATTTTAAGTTAAGTTCTATACGATGTAATTGATTTGACTAATGGTTAGCTGGTCACAGAAATGATGTTGCATCGTTCTATTGCGATCGAGCTGCGAATAATAAAGGTTTGGATTGAAAACAAAGTGTTTTATTTTGAAAAAACTAAATAAAATAAAATATATGCTAGACTTTGGAAGCCTTAAGGCTACAACAGCAAGCATCCTGTAGACGAATATTGCCAGAGTTTGACTTATTCCGCATAAATTATTCAGCATAAATAATAAAATTAATAAAAATATAATAAAGGGTGATTTTTCCATCTGGAGATTTCTCCCCTTACAGCAATAAAAAATTTGACGGAAATAAAATGTTGATTTATTTAAAATGAAATATTTTTCTGTAGAACACATTACCAAAAAATGAAAGTAAATATTTTTACTAATAAAACGGTATTAAGGTCTTGGTGTACAAATCTTTGTTTTAAGGTTAATAAATTATTGATATTTATTAAGAAATTAATTTTATCCATTAAAACATGTTTAAATGTTTGATTTTTTAGAAAAACCCTGAAAGAAATGTCGAGTGTTGTATCGCTTTTGTCTACCATTGTGTCGACATATCTCCATATGTTCAACTACTTGTCTAGATATCATGTAATAAGAAGAAGCATTTGTTATGTCAACAGCCAGCTGAGCATGGTTATGCTTCTTCTTATTTTTCTTTTATTAAGTGGGCCGTAGACGATCATGCATGCATGACATCAAAATCGTATACGTGTGCATGAAGCTTCAGCGCACACGGTTCATGCATTCATTTTGCATTTGCATTTCGTGTTGTGCAGACAATGTCCTTGATTTTGTCCTTGTGCTTACAAAATGGAGAAAATGCCGAAAAAAGGGGCTGAGACCGACTGGCATACTTCCAACAACTCTATAAAATTTTTTCGCAGTATCCGACATCTGTTTACAGCCATTCCCTTTGAAAAAAAACGTCACATATGAGAATATGGATGATGCCTGCACCGCACACACGTCAAAATCGAACGTCATTCATGCGAAAAATCAAAAATTTTTGATTTTGCTTTATGCATCGTAGGTGTGACACATACATACAAATTTCAATAACACCACAAAATGCATGTCATGCTTGCATGACCGTTTACGCCGTAAACTTAACGGGTCACTTTAGAAATAATTTTTGCGGCAGTAGAAAGAAATTTTGTTAAACAACATGGTAAACATTTTCTGCAAAATCGATTTTTTTGATTTATGCCAGTCTTGCAGCAAATGAGCAATATGTAATTCCAGCCATTGACATTTTAATTTTTTTCTACTTTGAGATTGGTAAGTACTTCGTAAACAAAAGCAAAGTCTAATTATCGCAGTCACTACACTCATGATTCATTTCATTTAAATTAAAATATGAACCAAATATTTCGTAAATGCTTTTTTCATTCGTATACAAATTCAAGTTCAGCCTTATCTCAAAGTCACTTGTATTCAGATTATACACCCTATAATAAATTTGTGTTGCAGATAACACAAGACATGGATTGCAAAAATTTGTATTTGGTTAAGAAAAATAAATTCATGTGTTTTAAAGTAAAAAAAATCAGTTTCATTGACATAAAAATTGTTATTTGTAAATAAATACGAGGGCAGATCCTTATTCCGGCCAAAATTGAATTGAGTCTCTAAAGACGTGTGTTGTCGGGTATCCATGGGAATATATGTGGTCTATCTCTTAGAGGAAGAAACATTTGAAAAATAAAGAACAACAAGTCGAAAAACAACTAAAGGTAATGTTGTTTACACATTTCATTTCCTACTTTTGAACCGTCCAAAAACTATATCGGTCCTCTTTGGTCAAAACTGAACCTAAAAGTTAATTGTTGTGGCAATTTGTCCATAAAGGATAGATCGATTCTGCTCGTTTAAGGTATAACGATCGGTGTACAAATTCAGGTCTGTAGCTTTGGAAAATTTATTTCTAAAATAAAACATGTACATACATTGGAAAGCCAATAGAAACACTTTTTTTTAATTCCTTACTTGAGGTACTTAATAGGATTTCCCTAGGGACCTTAAAGTATGGAAAGCATTTGCCAACCTTTGAGCAACTCTACAATTAACACCAAAATGTTTACACACCGAAATAAAAAGCAATCGCAATAACATCATATTTGAAGATTTAAAGGAAAGAAATTTTAAAAATCCCGAACGTTGTGATACACGAACACATGAAGAGAGTGTTTGAAAAATTTGCTGAATTTCATTCCGCAAGTGCTGTCAATGAGGAAAGAAATGGGGCATATCCAGAAAAAAATTTCCGTAATTTATTTTAAATGTAAAACATGCACATACATTGGAAAGCCAGTAGAAAAGCATCTTTTTTCTTACTTAATATCCTTAGAACAATTCTTTATAGGATTTTTAAACAATCCATGCATGTAGAAAACAAGAAAAAAATATGTTAAATGTAAAAAAAAATATTTATAATTCGTGGATTTTAGAAAATTGTCGTCATAGACCGATGAATCCACAATACAATTGCTATTTTTATCGATATTATATAAATTCATTCGAAGTTAACGACTTTTTATAAAAATTCGTTCAAACTTAACGAAGTTATTTTCAAGACAATGCCCTGCTTCAAATTTGTTTCTATACTTGAAGTAACCAGCAGAGTCTCCTTTGAGTACAAATTCGAAAGCAATCACTAAAAAAATTATAATATACAATTAAATTCAATATATTTCAAAATAATATTAAGTGTCGTGGACTCTAATATGGGTTGAAATTATAACAAATATACGACAACCAGACATGATTATCGAATATATTTAAAATTTTCCAATAGTCAAATATTGACAAGAACATGATAAGTTCAACAATGCATTTTAATTAATAAAAAATTTGCAATGTATGATAAATTTGTATATTATTTAACATTACTACTCCTCCTTCTTAATTATATTATTTTCAACAACAAGAGATTTGCAAAAATCCCTTTACAATCCCAGGAACCGATTATATCAACACTTCACTAAAAAATACATTTTTTTTAATTTAATGCTAATTAAATTGACAATCCAAATGTTCTTTTTTAATATATATTGTCATATCATTGTGTTAATAATTTTTAATTGTCTAAATAAAATACATATTAATCTTTCCCCCAAAAAAAGATTAACAATAAAAAAGTAAAAAGTAATAATGCATTCTGAAATAATGCGACACTCATACCAAAATAATATTCGAATTACTCAATGACATTTTGTTTTTGGCAAAGTTGTTTTTTTAACAAAATTTAGTCTGTTATCGTCCGTCGAGCGGTATTCTACTTTATTCGATTTCGCTTATTCAATTCGAATTGCATATTGTTGCTCTTAATTATTATTTTTATTTGAAAAAAAGTATATTGCCAAAATGCCACCAAATAATGATTCGAACATCGCAAATCCAAATGAAGATTTGGCTATCCCATCATGGATAAATGTGGATTATTTTAAGGATATCGTGGCGAAAGATGAAACAGATTTAGTAGAAATTAAAAAATTCACACCCACTGCAGCCATACCACCGGGTGAAAATTTTACATCGGTTATGTTACGGCTACACTTTGATTTGGAAATGAAAGGTGGGTAAAAACGAAAAAAAAAGATTATAAAATTTTAAAGATTATTTTTGAAATACGACATTGGAACCACACCACAGAAAATGTTGCCTTTCGGTGGTCTATAAAGACTTGTCTGTAGGAAATCCTTTCATCCCTTCATTTATAGATACGCTCTGACTCCGTCTATAAAGCAAAAACTCCATCAGCTCCCTTATAAAGATTCCCTGACAAATAAAAATCTTCAACTGCTATAATCCCGTCAATAAAAATACCCGATATTTTAGCTGTTCGAATACTCTCTACCGATATTGCCTTCACTTCGTATATAAATAATCCGCCTCGTCTATAAACATTCTGATATTCCTGCTGAAGATTCTATAGAGACTCATTTTCTGCTCGCCCATAGAGACTGTTTTCAGCTCGTATATAGAGACTCCCTTTAGCTCATCTATTGAAAATTCCTTTAGATCATCCATAGAGGCTACCTTCTGCTCGTCCATAGAGACTCCCTTTAGCTCGTCTATAGAGACTTTCTTTAGGTGGTCTATAGAAACTCCTTCAACTCGCCGTAAAAGACTCCATTACAAGTGATTCCTTCAACTCCTCTATAAAGATTCCCTTGAAATCGTCTATTTTTTTTAATAGAAATAAAATAAAACATCGGTTCCACTTTTCAGATGGCTCCACGAAACACAAAACTTACATTTTCAAAACAATGCTGGACGAAGAGAAAGGAGGAAAAGTGATCAAAGACATGTCTCTGTTCCCCAAAGAAATGAAAATGTACAGCACCTATCTGCCAGCATTTGAGGAACTTTATAAACATGTTGGTTGGAATATTCAATTTGCTCCGAAATGTTTGCTTACCGAGAAAAAGGATAATCGAATCAATTTCCTATTTGAAGATTTGGGATGTAAAAATTTCAAAAATTTAGATCGATTAGAAGGATGTGATATGGAACATATGCGGTGTGTTCTGCGGAAATTGGCTGAATTTCATGCTGCCAGTGCAGTGTATGAGGAAAGAAATGGTCCATATGGAGAAGATTTTAAATATGCTTTTGCAGATCCACGTCATGGTCCGGGTTTCCTAAAAACGGTACATGATACCAATACGGCTCCCTATAAAAAGGCAATGGCCCAGTGGGGTATGGAAAATGCCGAAGAGTATATCAAGAAATATGTAAGTAAATTTCCCATGGTTTTTATTTAGCACCTACACCTTTTGAGATTTTTATGTGTGTGCGAGAGAAATATTTTCATTTTTTCCCAGCCCACTTATGATCAATTTTGGAAATGTGCCCTGGCCACACTGAAACATGAACGCAATAAGTTCAATGTTCTTACCCATGGTGACTTTTGGTCTAGCAATATGATGTTCTCGTATACGGAGAATAAGGAAATCCACGAAGCCCTAATGGTTGATTTCCAACTCTGCAAATGGGGTAGTCCGGCTGAAGATTTATTGTTCTTCATAACCATATCAGCGGCTGCCGATATTCGTCTTAAAGAATTTGATAATTTTGTGGCCATTTATCATGGACGTTTGCTGGAATGCCTCAAGAAGTTGGGTTACAAAAAGCCATTGCCTTCTCTAAGAGAATTGCAACAAGCTATGTACGATAAAAATAATACCTTCTATGGTAAGTCCTTATTATTTAACAATATGTGATAATGTTTAAGAAAGAATTGTTTTTTTCTGTAGCTTTCTTTGCCTGTATCAACCATTTGCCGGTTGTCCTGCTGCCTTCCGATAAGGATGCAAATATTGAAAATTTTTCCAGTCCCGATGATGTGGGTGAAAGGCTGCGTATGAAAACCTATACGAATCCTCGTTTTGTTGCTGTCATAAAGGATATTTTTAAATTCTATGTACAACGTGGCCTGTTCAATTTCGAAGACTATGATGAGGATTAAGACGAGGACTTGGAATCTGCAGGAAACTACTCAGGACTACCAAAACTATTTACCATAAAAATAATTTTTTAAAATAAATTTTTACGAATACAAAAATGAGAAATGAAAAGATTCTGCTCCCATAAATTGATCCTTTATAATGATAAGGATTCCCATCTATAGAGAAACTATTCATCTCGTCTGCTGAGATTCCCTTTCCCTCTCCAATAAAGGCTCCATTATGGTTTTCTATAGAGAGAGACTCCCTTCAGCTCGTCTATAGAGATTCTTCCCTTCAGCTCGTCTATAGAGACTCCCTTCATCTCATCTATAGAGACTCCCTTCAGCTCGTCTATAAAACTCCGTTTATGTCGTCTATAAAGAATTTCTTAAGCTCGTATATAAAAGTTCCCCTCAGCTTGTCTATAAATACTCCCTTCTGATGGCCAATAACGAGTTTTCTCAACTCGTCTGTAGACTCTCTTCGGGTCGTAAATAGAGACTCTCACTAGATCGTCTATAGAGATTTCAAATTTCAAATTATCGCAAGATTTCATCATATCATAAAAATGACCAAAATTTCGTAATACAAAGTTTAGTCACGTAAATTTAAGTATTCAATATGAATAGATAACAAAATATTTTGATTAATGAGTTGCAAACATTTTCGATAAGAACACAAATAAGGGAAAGTGTTATTGCTCGACAAATATGAAATGCCAAAAATGAAAGAAGGTAAGAATTGCCATTATGATATTCTCAAAATTGTTTTTTTTTTTTTTTTAAAAGATTAATTTAAAATTAAAAACTATTTGTAGTAATTATCAAAACACAAAAACGTTAGTAAATTAAACTAAATTTTTATTTTATGCCCCACTGTGCAAGTAATTAATTGTTGTACAAAAATAAACAGCCAAAAATTATCTCCTAAGCTAAGAGCTTTGCAGAACATAAACCCCTGCCATTTAGATATCTAATTTTGTGCGTACTCATTCTGAGAATTCTAAATAGTTTTACTCTTCAAAGTTGAGAATTTAAGTTTTAGGCTCACAATGTGGACGTGAGTAATCTACACGATCGTCGTCCAACTACACTACACTGTGTAGGTCAGTAAACGCGTTTTCTATTTTGTCTATTTTTCAAACGAAATTAATTTCAGTTGCAGTTAAACAGTCGCTTTACACAGATCGCGGGAAACTAACGTCCATTCACCTTGTGAACTGAAGGAAAAAAAACAAAATGAGTGAAAATATCGAAATAGTCAATCCAAATGAAAATCTGCATATACCTGAATGGATAAATGCTGAATATTTTCGTGATATTGTGCAGAAAGATGAACCAGAAATGGTGGCTGTGAAAAAATTCACACCGACTGCGGCAATACCGCCGGGTGAAAATTTTACATCGGTCATGTTGCGGCTGCATATGGGTTTGGAAATGAAAGGTTGGTTGGTTTGTGCGAGAGCGAGTGTGTGGGTTTTGAACTTGACCTTGGCTTCAAATTGTAATTTTATTAGTTATTGTTTTGTTTTCGAAGAAGAACAATATAAACAGTTGTTTGCAATAAAGAATATTGAATTGCTTTGTTTGAAGTACAATAATAATAGAAGAGAATCGTAAAAATTAAACATTTTAGTTGTAAATTTAACTAAAATAAATTCTTTGTAATGTGGAATGTAATTTTGGTAAATATAAAAATATTTTAAACCAAATAAACTGATATAAAGATTAAGGGCTCTATCAAAAAATGAAAAACATAATGACGTTCAAGATGTAGAAATTGTCAAATATATTTAATATTAAATAATATTCTTTCAGAGGTCCCGCTCGTTTTTTATGTTGTAGTCTCCAGCCTCTTTTTGTAATTTATAGTTTTTTTATAAATATTAATCCTATAAATCCTCTTTTGCTCCTTTCAGATGGCTCCATCAAACCGAAAACATATATTTTCAAGACAATGTTGGAAGAAGAAAAAGGCGGTTCAATAATCAATAAATTATCTCTATTCCCCAAAGAAATGGAAATGTACGGCAAATATTTGCCAGCATTTGAAGAACTTTACAAAGCTGTGGGATGGAATATACAACTATCACCGAAATGTCTCTACACTGAGAAAAAAGGCAATCTAATAAATTTCCTTTTTGAAGATTTGAAAGAGCGTAATTTTAAAAACATCGATCGTTTGCAAGGTTGTGATATGCAACATATGACTTGTATTTTAAAAAAGTTAGCAGAGTTACATGCTGCCAGTGCCGTGTATGAAGAAAAACATGGACCTTATCCCGAAGATTTTCAATACGGTTTTGTTGACAATCGTCAGAGTGATGATTTTTTAAAGACTACCTATAGCATAAAAGTGGAAGCGTATAAAAAGGCCATGGCTGCATGGGGCTTGGAGAATGTTGAGGAATACATTAAGAAATTTGTAAGGACAATTATAAATTATATAACATCATATTTTAATAAAAAGATATATTTTTGTCGCTTTTTTCCAGCCCACCTGCGATCAATACCAAAAATGTGCTGCAGCCACCCTACAACAATCCACAAATTCTTTTAATGTCCTGTGTCATGGCGATTTTTGGTCCAGCAATATTATGTTCAACTACTTACCAAATGGTGAAATCAATGAAACTCTTCCACTCGATTTTCAAATCTGTAAATGGGGTAGCCCAGCCGAAGATTTACTCTTTTTTATTACAATATCACCAAGTGCCGATATTCGTATAAAAGAATTTGATCACTTTGTGGCAATATATCATAAACGTTTGGTGGAATGCTTGAAAGTGCTGGGCTACAAGAAACGCATACCCACATTACGTGATCTACACTGTGATATGTTTGATAAGAAGAATTCATTTTATGGTATGGTATAAAATCGTATTTGAATTTAGATAGAATTTAATTTATGTTGTCTCTTGCAGCCTTCTTTGCCTGTTTCAATCATTTGCCTGGCATTATGTTACCCAGTGATAAGGATTCAAATATCCATACATTTTCCCGGGGCGATGCAATTGGTGAGGAATTTCGTCGTCGTGCCTATGCAAATCCATTGCTAGTTTCTGTATTGAAGGACCTATTTCCATTCTATCATAACAGAGGCATATTTAATTTTGAAGATTATGATAGGGAATGAATAATTCATTCTTGTTAAACATTTTTATGAATATACTGCAAAATAATTATAAAAAATTCTCGAAATCTTGTACAGAAAATCAGCAAATATAAAAAGATAATACAAAAAATAAACAGTTATGTACCAATCGCCACGAAATTTTGCACGGATTGGCCATTTTTTTTTTTTTTTTTTTTGTAAAGACCGTTTAATGTTTAAGGGTTGAAATAGACCAAAAACTTATTTTTTTCTTGTCGCTCGAGATTCGAACAACACGAAATGTTACACCAGGATGGGAATCTGGCCAAAGAATAAGCATGGAAGTTTTGATGAAGATCGGGCAAATGGACATAGACTTTTGTGTGAAAAATTACACACAATTTGAATTCTGGGGCGTAGTTATTTACTCCTTATGGACATAGACCCGAGAAGTTGACAGTATATCCTAGAGGAGTGGTTGACCTTGAAATTGATACCAATTATGTTGTTGTATATACTCGGATGTGGGAGTTATACTAAGTTAATAAAAGGTATCTACGTACTTTGATTTGAAGGCAAATCAAACGATCGCACGGATCGTTTTGAAATTTTACATGAAGTTTTGAAATTTTACATGAAGTTTTGAAATTTTACATGAAGTTCCGGTTATGGTCAAGGACGACGTCCATAATTTTTGGTGATAATTTTGACTTTGATTTCTACGAGGTGCAATGAACCGGAAACTTTATGTTTGTCAGATTTTCTTTTTTCTCTAAAGACCTTTAATATATGCAGAACATCACATATTTTACACGGTGAAGGAGATCTGACCAAATACTTAGAATGATATTTTAGATGATGATCGGTCAATATTGCGAGGGTCAAATCAACCAAAACCTAGAGACCAAATTTTTATTTTATGGTGTCAATATTTAAATAAGATTTGGAAATATGTCAGTATTTCGAAGTGGAGCTGTTGACCTACAGTGGTGGTCACAGAATTAAAACATTTACTGTGGTTAACATTTTTTGATCAGCCCTCGATTCGTTTGAAGTATTTTTGAAATTTTTTTAATTCAGAACACTTCGATATACTGCACTTAAGAGATTTAGTGTGAAAATGGAAAATTATTGCATGCAATTTTTCCATAAATAACGGTTTTTATGAAAATACGTCGACTTTGAAGTGGCCATATAATTAAAACATTGTGTAATATTTTACTTTACTTCATTTTTGGAAAATATTTTTAAAAAAGCTCTTTAATTTAGTTAAAATACGTAAACTAAGCACCGATAAAATCATTTACTGATAAAATTTTTTGAAAAAATTGTAAAATCTTTCAAAATTGCCAATAATTTGTACAGTACACCTTACATTCAGAAAATAACCCTTATTATAGAAAATAAAGGTCCGAATGCACCAGAAATTGCTAGAATTAGTAGAAAACAATAAATTATTCTCAAAATAAATAAATATTTGAAATAAAAACTGAAAAAATAGTAATTAACATAAAAGAACGACTCAATTTCGATAGCCTTTATTGAAGAAGGCCGGAATATTTTTGCAGTATGTGAGGAAATATCGATTAATATTGGCATTTATTATACCAAATCGATTGTTCGAGTAGTACAGAATATATTTTATCAAAAAATATACAAGTCACAACAGAAAGAACAGAGATCAACGCCTATGTTGACGAGTAAAAGTTTCTGCCACACAGCTGCATTTTTAATGCTCAACACAAGACTTTAAATATTTGTCAAATTGAATATTTTTTCTTTCTTTTAGGCTAAAATAGATTAAATGGGCATTATTCTATTCAAAAAATATTATTTTGGAAAAATATTGTCATGTTCAATACATTTTAAGGGTCAAGAGTTGACCATCAAACATGCTGCTGTGTACCAGAAACGTTTTCTCGTCAACATAGGCGTTGATCTCTGTTCGTTCTGGTGTGACTGATATATTTTTTGATAAAATATATTCTGTACTACTCGAACAATCGATTTGGTATAATAAATGCCAATATCAATCGATATTTCCTCACATACTGCAAAAATATTCCGGCCTTCTTCAATAAAGGCTATCGAAATTGAGTCGTTCTTTTAGGTTAATTCCTATTTTTTCAGTTTTTATTTCAAATATTTATTTAATTTGAGAATAATTTATTGTTTTCTACTTATTCTAGCAATTTCTGCATTCGGACCTTTATTTTCTATAATAAAGGTTATTTTCTGAATGTAAGGTGTACTGTACAAATTATTGGCAATTTTGATAGATTTTACACATTTTTTTCAAAAATTTTTATCAGTAAATGATTTTTTCAGTGCTTAGTAAACTAATAATTCAACTAAATTAAAGAGTTTTTTTTTAAAAATATTTTCAAAAAATGCAGTAAAGTAAAAAATCACACAATGTTTTAATTATATGGCCACTTCAAAGTCGATGTATTTTCATAAAAACCGTTATTTATGGAAAAAATTGCATGCAATAATTATCCATTTTCACACTAAATCTCTTAAGTGCAGTATATCGAAGTGTTCTGAATTAAAAAATTTTCAAAAATACTTCAAACGAATCGAGGGCTGATCAAAAAATGTTTACCACAGTAAATGTTTTAATTCTGTGACCACCACTGTATATTCGGTGAAGAGCATGCAAATATCGGGAAATATTGCCAGGCTCAGAATTTAGAACCACAGAAAGTAAGATTGTCGTGGTAGTTGTGTAGTGTATCACATGGTCGGCCCCGTCCAACTATACTGTTACGCTCGTTGCTTTTAATATACATAAATCAAATATGAGTTCTAAATCAGGAAATATTTTCTAAAGGGGCCTTTGCACACCTGGATACGGAACCTTTAAAAATATTAATACAATTTTCGAAATATTTAAAATCAAGAAACGCATTAAACTAATATTAAGCTTTATGAAAATATGTGTTAAATGTGTTGTTTTAAATGCCTTGTTAAAATGAAGATACAAATTCTGAAAAAAAATTAAATTTTTTTAAATTGGCTATAAAAAAGGGTCCTCTACATTCTTCAGAGTCCAATAAATATACATTTTATAATTTGATGCATTAATCGGAAAGAGTTTAATTGACAACACTTGGAAACGATCATTTTATTAAAACATAGTCATAAACAATTAAAGCATATTTTAAGGCGGAAAATACATATCGCTTCAAACGGAAATACTTATTGCCATTTACAGTTGAAATAAGAACTTTATCTAAATGTGCCGGGAAAAGTTCTTCCCAATTAATATTTGATTTAAATTTACGTAGGCAATAAAATATTAAAAATTGTATATTCAATTTATTCGATTAATATCATGTAAATAGATTTCATTAATCAGAAATAAATTACCAATAAAATCGCCCACCGCCAATGTAAACGTTTACTTATTTAGTCACTACACTACATATTTTGTAAACAAACTTACCTATCCATCACAACACTAATATCTGTTCACACTGCCCATGTCCCCAAAACAATAACAAAAGTAAATGAGAGATGAGACTCCCCTCTGTGTTCTCCAAAAAAACCACCAGCATACTCTTTGACACTTGAGCGAGCGACCGACCGATATGCTAACAACATTCAACGAACCGCATTGCAATGGAACGCAACAACAACCGACCGAAAGAAGATTACCGAAATGCACTAAACAACAACAATTCAAAGCATTCATTCTCTTACTACACACACATACGAGCTCAAATGGCAAAGAAAAGGCCAACAATTGCTGAGTCACTGCATTGCCAAAAAAAGGAAAAACACACTATTCGATGATTTTCGTAGGAAAACACTTTAATTTAACTATTATTTTAATATAATTTAATTAATTACACTATATTTTACACTTTTTATAACGTTTCAATGTATATTTCCTTTAATATTGCAATTAAACGATGAACGAAAACATTTCGCGGCCGTCCGTTGTGAAATCAAATTAGAACTGAAGGAAGAGCCAATTAGGAGAGAACAGTGCTGCCAATATTAACGACATTGAACGAAACGAATTGCCATGAAACGCAACAACAACCAACCAACCGAAAGATCAACAACAATGCAATGCAAATATTCTCTCACTACACACACACATACGATGTTAACGGCAAAGAAAAGACAAACAATTGCTGCGTCATTGGTGTACCAAACGAAGAAATACTATTTTTGTAATGACTATCATCGGAAAACAATTTGATTTTACAATTATTTTAGGAGTAATTAATTAGTGCACGATATTTTACACTTTTTTATAGAATTAACTTTTAATTTCCTTTAATTTCTGTATGGATGATCAGCGAAAAAAATTACGACCGTCTGCCACGAAATGTAATAAAGAGGGGCTAAAAAAGAAGACAGGTGTATCGACGTTTTGAATGTTTACGTGGGGGTAACATTAAAGGGGGCGGGAATATTTCCCCTTTTCAAGAATTTTGATAATTTTCAAATTATGATTTCTTGAAATCCTTGAATTCTAGGTATATAGTGTCTTCGGCAATATTACTGCTAAAATATCGAATAATATTTTGGTATAAAACTTTAACCCTCGGCTGACTCATTGAAGGGGTCTTTTTGGCAAATGTAAAACTATATTTTCTACTGCTTTTTTTCAATTAAATTCGAAAAGAACGATACCGATTGGATTTTGACCACAAAACAATATTATATTGATATTTAACCCTTTGTGGCCCAATGTTGCACACAGGCAAAAAAAAATTTTTAGAGCTTATATTTAATATACAGTTGGCAGATATAAATTCCTTGGATTTCATATGTCAAGACCAAATTATGGACTAGCCATATCAAGAGAAAAATCTAAAAAATTAAATTTTTTGGTAAAGTTATGCGCTTTTCAATATAGAGAAGAGTGCAAATATGTGTACAGTACTAATTTGTGTATGCAGTCCAAATTATTTAAATCGTAGAGAATAATTTCAAATGATTTTACCGTCGATTTTGCTTTTGGTTTTCATGATATTGGACTTTTATTTTTCAGAAAGAATGTACTGTATCTCCCGAAAGCGAGGATGTAGCGATGTCAAATTTTGTTTATATCGTATTTAGGATAGTTGCATTAAATCTGTGAAGAGAAAATTGTTCTATGATTATGGAAAAAAATTTCGCGACTTTCAGAATGTATTTCTATAAATTTAAATTTTAAGGGGAAAAACAATTTTCAATACCCATCACACTATGGGCCAGAGATCCCATTTTTTGACCAGCAGTGGGTTTATGAAATAAATACGATTCTGCAAGAAAAACCAAAAATATAAGGGGTGAATCGAGGACGGCAGTGATTTTTTTTAAATTGAATTAATCAAATTGTTTTAGAACAGGTTTTGTAGTGCTATGGCCACTAATTACAAATGCGGAAACAGATTTTGAAAATCAAATAAAGTGATTCCAAATAATATTTTTTGGCAGTATTTGAAATAAATATAGGATGAAATCGTATTTTATGTATTATGGTTCCAAAACTATGACATACCTTAATTAAATTTGAATTTTAGCCAATTTGGTTGAAAAATGTGCCCAAACTAACAAATAATGGGGGATCTGTTTATGTGGGGCCTACCCCGAAACCTAAGTGAATATTGTTAGTTTTTGTAAATCTCAAAGTCCCTAAATTTCAAATATATAAAATTTTATTGGCGCTACCTGATATAGACTTTTTGCCAAAAAATTTTATTTCTGGCCTTGCACTATAATTAAATAAATCAAATTAAAAAAACATGAAAATATTAATTGAATTGGAATAAGGATTAAACCTTCTGTAATTGATACCTAAAACAGGGGATGTTAATACTGCTCTACTCCACTCTATTCCTTCAGACCAGTTCAATTTATTTTACTTGAGAAATTTCCCTATTTCGATTGGCATTTAGTGAAAATATACATAAGTACAGACATGAATGTCACAACTATTAGTCATCAAGTAATAAAAAACAATTTTAAGTTCCAATGTACAAATGCTGTTATTTTAATTAGCACTTGATCGGTCAATGCCATACCATTAATATTTCTATAAAAATAAATTCACTTAGCTATTTGAGTAGAGTAAATAAGAGAAGTTTATGCAAAACAACACAACACTTTCCTACATACACACTAATTATTATTGTACATCTAAACTGAAGTGAGAATATCTTAATATGTACTTTCAAAATATAATAAATAAAAAAAAAATACTTAACATATATGCCTTAATTTTCTTACTCTGGTCTTCGCACCCACACTAGAAGAACTATGCTCCCCGCCCCCAACTCCTGCATGTAGTATCTTATCACAATTCAATAACTCGAGACTGCATTACTTTCGTTTGCAACCACTATCTGTATTTCTATTGTGAGCTTTATACTATAACTAAATACTAACTAACACTAGGAACGTAATCAGCCACCAGAACCGTAACCGCCACCATCACACCCCAACCCCATGCACCACAGATACACCACCCATGTGTGTACGTTGTGCCAACAAACCGACTGTTATCTCCTTATACCGGGCAAAATAAACTGATAAAAAGTGTAAAATCCAAATACACAAACAAAAAATAACAATAATAACGCATTAACTGCGGATGATAGAGAAGTGGAGTGAGAAGAGAGCCTAAATACTGGCTGTTTGTTATGGAGCGTCCTAAAGTAAAGAGAGGCAGAGATCGAGTTAAAGGTAGATGATCTTTTAACAACAAAAGTGTGTAAGGGAAAATTTAGAGCGGTGATCAAAATATTCGGTTTGATAACATGAAACCAGATTACAGAACTAAATACAGAAGCAAAGTAAATGACTTACTGTCTGACTGACTTAACAAAATTTGGGGTAAATGTCACTCTTAATCCGAAAGTATCAGATAAGGCTGGGGTTTTGGAAATTAGTAAAAGAACGGTACGAAAAGTGTTAAAAAGTACAAAATATGGTACCATTTGTATTTGGCGAACCGGTAGAGCTAGAAATCCTAAATTTAGAATGAGGATCATTGATGAAGTGGAGGATAGAAGTTAAAGTGAAATTCGAAATATAAGTATTTGAAAAGTACTACTTTTATTCTTACGAAAAACTACTAAATCGTACAATATTTAGTACAACTTGAATTTAGAGTGAACCTATATGGCTGAAATCCTCAAATTTGGAGATAGTATGACTGTTTGGATGTAGGATTAGGGTATGTAGAAAGTTTTGAAAATTCGTACTAATGTGTACTAAATGGTACGAAATTTGGAACAATTTGAACATTGGGTGAACCGATAGGCCTGGAATGCCGACATTTGGAGTTAGGATCACTGTTAAGGTGTAGGTGGGTTATTTATGTGTTTTCACTAAATGGTACTAATTAAATTTGATAAAATTTTTCAGATGTTGGAGTGTAGAATTGAGATATGCAAAAAGTTTTAGAAATTCGTACTTATGTGTACAGAATGGTATTAAATTTGAATTTTGGGCGAACCGATATAACTGGAAACCTAAACCAATTAGCTCGCATTATGAAATGTGGAATTAGTTTTGGAAATAAGCACTACAAGGGTCCAAACGGTACCAAATTTATGGAGATAGTTTTGGAAATGCATCTAATAAGAGAACAAAGGTACTAAATCGTACCAAAAAGTTCGATATTGGTGTCTAGGTTGATTAATAAATTTTGACATGTTTTATTAATTCCCACGTTCACTAAAGAACTGGCAGGATAAAATAAAACCTATAGAACCATATACCTACAGAAGGCCTTCCGTCAAAAAATAAATAATATCTTCCGTTTGATTTTTTTCTGTCTGTAGAAGAGATGAAGATGATCTTCAGAAGGTCTTTGTCCATAGAATTCGTTCAGAAGGAGGTCTTTTGTATATAAGACATTCTCTCTGTAGAAGACTTTAAAATCTTTGGTCTACAGAAGATTTTTAAAAGGTATACTGACTACGGAAGACTTTCAAAATGTATTCTGAAGTCTTCTACCTTTAGAAGGGTTTCTGTCTTCTAAAGGTATTCTGAAGGATTTTTTTAGAGGTCTTCTGAAAGTAAAAATTTTGAAGGTATTCTTTTCAAAGAAAACCTTTAGAAGTTCTTCTATTTACAGAAAAGGTATTCTGTTTATAGAAAACCTTCAGAAGTTCTTCTATTTACAGAAGACCTGAAAAATACACTCTTTTTAGAGTACCTATAGAATGTTTTTTACCTATGGAAGATTTGTAGATATTTTTTAATTTATAAAAGACTTGTAGAAGGTATTTTGTCGAAATTCTTGAAGGTCCTCTGTCAAAAGAAGAACTGTAGATGGGTCCCTAGAGTAGACCTTTTGAAAATTCAAAAAAGATCTCATTGAAGTTTTAAATATTCATTATGTGGTTAACCGTAACCAAACCGGTTTCTTTATTTTTTTTATATCTCTAACTGAGTCACTCACACTCCTTCATTTGTACTCTCTCTCTCTCTCTATCTTCCTCTCTCCGTGAGAATGTGTTCATTGCTTGTGTATATTGCATTTCGAAAAATAAAAAAAATTCAAACGTTGTCTGATCGTCGGCGATAAAACAACTGTTCGATGGCAGTAACGAACGGCAATGACGAGGCGCGCATCGAAGAAATAAAGAAAATTCATTTAAAGACGTTACGAATTTATTTGAAAACCATCAATATCGAGCCCGCAGTTGCTGTTCAGAATTTTCAGTTCGCAATAAAACAAAATTGATTTGGACGCAAAGTGTGATAAATTGCCGCAATCGTTGTTGTTGCTGTTATTGATCGACATTTTCAAGTTCCGCCTTACAAAAACAAAAAACAAGTAATAGAAATAAAATTGTACATACGTAAATTATGAGCAACGAACCAGAAGTGTAATAAATACTAAGCGCCGGCAATTTGTCAATATTATGAAAATATCAATTTGTGGAATATTTCAAAACGAATTTCTTGTGTGATAATAAAAAAGAAAGAAAAACCAAAAAGTAACAGTTGCTGTGATTGCTTTCGTATTAAATAAAATCTAACAACATGCCTGATAACAGTACGAAATTTAATCCCAATCTAAATGTGGATATACCCAAATGGGTCACTGAGAATTATTTCTATCCAATTCTAAAAAATGATTTACCAAATTTTGTGAAAATTTTGAATTTTACCACCATACCAGCCACACCGCCCGGAGAAAATTACACCTCGCTTATGATGAGAATTAAAATGGATATTGAAATGGAAGGTAAGGGGTATGAATGGTTGGTTTATCTGACTGACTGTTTGTTGGTTTGTTAGTTTGTTTGCCGTTGATTATGATGACAGTACCTTGGATGGTTTGGTGGTGTTCAGCTCTTATCTAAAGATTTTGAAATATTGCTGATAACCATAGCCAAGCATTTGAAATTCTGTTCTGTTTCTCCAAAGGAAAATTACTTAACGTTGTTTTATTAACAAGTTGTCACTAATTTTTGTTTAACCATCGACCTACATAACAGCGTTGTTTCTATGGGGGTTTCTGAACCAAGGGAATATCTATTAAAATACGTTGTTTATTTACTTTTGGTTTAATGTGGAATTAAGTAGATATATTTATTTAGACTGGTGTATATTTTGCTCTTCTGTCATGCTGTTTTATTATTTACCAGACATTTACACTAAAATTCAATTAATTTAATAATAATTGTTTGAATCCAGTATTTACCAGGTAGATCAAAATCGCTAAGCTCACTTACTGGGAATGGTATGGTCATTAGAAAATTATCAGATCGGGAAAATTGAATATATTCTGTCTTGGATGATAATTAGAACCATATCTATGCATTCAGAAAAACACTTCTAGATTATAGAAGACTTGACAGACGTCAGACATTAAGGCTATAGGCCGACATATAAATAATCTATAAAAATCATATCCATTGACCCGATCCCAAACATATTTAAATTAACTTTGTTATGGGAGTTAGTTCAGCATATTTCAGGAGATTTCTACGGAGAAAAAAGTTCCGAATTTGGGTTGCATGGTAGTCGAAATACCCACCATAAAGATGAGTATGCTACAAGAAATCCTATAGTTATTTCTATCTTTCTGTCTGTCCAAATTAGAACATATCAGGACAGGACATTTTTCGAGCCATACACCTATTTGTTAGTTAGACGTCCACTTACATTGGTCTAAATTTAGAGAGTATGTTGCGTTTAGGAGCTCATATAACTTTTAAGGGGGAAGTCCACACTTTCCTAGATATGGGCCTTCTGCAAATTCATTTGCTTATAACTTCACCATTTAAAGGCCAATGAAGGAAATGTGTATAGTTGTAAAGCTTACACAATATTCTTCCACATTAAACTCATCCTAGTTAAAATTTTCGGTCGGATATTTAAGACTTTGCCTATGGACCGGGGCAAAGTTTTGTATTTTATATTTTTTATTCATTTTTATTAATTTAAAAACCAGTGAGCGGAACAGTATAGTTGGACGGGGCCCACCATACGATACCATACACAACTACCCCGGAACTCTAATTTTTTGCTGATGTTTATTTCGAGCCTGGGCAATATTTCGTGATATTTTCAGCCTCTTGTCAGATTTGAGATCAACAGCACCTCTTCATTACACTGACATATATTCCCAATATTCAGTACAACCCTTCTAATTACTTGTCCAGATTCCCTTCACCGTGGATTGTGTTGTGATTTTCGTCTTGTGGCCTATAGATCGACTCGAAAACACACACAAAATTAAGTTTTTAATCCACTTCATCCCTAATTTGTAATGTGATCATCACTGAAAATTATAGGCGTTGTCCTTGACCATACCTGGAACCTCTTCGAAAATTGTAAAGCGAACAGCGCTATGTTTCCGCTCTCTAATGTTAATGGGTTACTAAATAATATCTGAATACGATATTATATAATAATATAATTGGTATCAATTTAATGGTCAATCACTCCTCTAAGATATACTGTCAACTTCTCGGGTCTATGTCCTTCGCTATAGAATACAAATTTTGTAATTTTTCAACAAAAAGTCAGAGTCCATTTGACCCGCCAAATATCGACCGATCTTTATCAAAACAGGCATGCTTATTTTTCGGCCCGATCTAGAGCTTTCTGGTCGCTCCAGAGACCGCAATTATAGCCCGAACGAAATTTTACATGGAGAAGAGGATCGGGCAGGACAAAAATTAAGTATTTGGTCCATTTCATCACCTATCGAAGAACTTTCCTTTTCGCAAGAAACCCTTGTAGCTACACCTGCCAAATCGACGGCCACTAAAACTTTTCTGACACATAAAAGAAGAAAATTTTACATTTTTAACCATTCATGAAAAACATACTACCCTGCATATCTCCAAATCCAACCATCAGCATCTACAAAAGGTCTCAGTTCTACTTTGTGTCCCTTCATAAATTTGAGGATGCCAGTGTATGGAAAAAGAATCCACTCATGTAATTTCCGTATAGTGGAAATCCAACTACTGATAAAATAAACAGATTTGCATATAGTTATGTGTATTTTCGGAACATCAAAGGCTCGGGATGATAAGAACTATTTCCGAGAGTTTTTAATAAAATGTATCTATAGACTAATATCTCGTAATATTTTTTTTACAGATGGCTTCACTCAACAAAAATCGTATATTATGAAAACAATGTTAGACGATAAAAAGGGTGGAACCTTTATCAACACCCTGAATCTATTTCCCAAAGAACGATTAATGTACGAAGCGATATTACCACAACTGGAGGCACTCTATGAGGAATGTGGCAGTAAGGTGAAATTTTCACCAAAATGTCATTGGATTGAAGATAAATCGGGAAGGATAACATTGGTTCTTGAAGATCTCTTAACGAAAAAATTCAAAAATGTAAATCGCCTAAAGGGATTCGATATGCAGCATATGAAAAGGGTCTTAGAAAAATTGGCTGAATTTCATGCGGCCTCTGTGGTGCTGAGAGAACGTCACGGGCCATTTCCTAAGGAATTTAAAAATACGTATTTACCGGCAAATTACCAAAAATCGAAATCATATCAGTCCCGCGTACAATGTTATAAGGCAGCCATGGCCACCTGGGGTCTAGAAGATTATGAAAAGTACACTAAAATGATTGTAAGTTCGAAGAGAAATAAATAAATTATTATTATTATTGTTAATAGAGAATTCATTTTCTTTTCAGCCTGATGCCGATCAATATGTCAACGCCACAATGCAGTGTTTCAACAACAGTCACCCCGAGGAATTTAAAGTCCTCAATCATGGCGACTTTTGGTCCAGCAATATAATGTTAAATTACACATCGAAAAATGGCCACAACGATATCAACCAAATCCGCTTTGTCGATTTCCAAATGTGTAAATGGGGCAGTCCGGCCATGGATTTATGGGAACTGATCATTTGTTCGGTGGAAAGTAATTTGCGTATACGCAATTTTGATTTATTTTTAAGATTATATCACAGTCATTTGTTGAAGTGTCTGAAATTCTTGAAATACGAGAAGCCCATGCCGCTGCTGAGTGATTTACACATCAGTATGCTGAGATATGGATTTTGGGGTTATTTTACCACCTTTACACATTTGGTATTGATATTACTGCCATCGGATAAAGAAGCCAGTTTGCTGAGATTAATGCAACCGGGCGAAGAAGGTGATAAATTTCGCATGAAGGCTTTCACGAATCCACTGTATGTGAGAGCGGTATTGGATATTTTACCATTTTTATATAGACGGGGTATTTTAGAATTTCAATAAAAATAATAATAATTTAACGAAATTTTGTTTGATTGATTGTTATTTATTTTATCGGGGTTTTTGTATTTCCGACTACTTCGGGGGATTTTTTATTGTTGTTTAGATTATAATTTGTATTACCCATAGATAAAAATTTTGTACTTACTTCAAAAATGGACTTTACAAAATTCACTAATTTTGTAGAAATGATAAATAATTAATTGTATATAAAAATCTTATCTTGTATCCCAAATCTAAAGATACTAGCAAATAAATTAATAAACAATTTTAAAATATTTAACATTTTTCTTTGGGTGTAAGTTCAAAAGCTTTTTTTCCGTTAGGGTTGCCATAATATGAGATTTTGGTTTGTATTCTAGGTAAATATGGTAAATTTATATTACATGATTAGAATATGGTAAATTTATATTTCATTCTAGAAAATAAGGACGAAAAAGACATGTAAGGACTCCAGATAGAAAGAGGATATATTTTACAAAAATTCATCCATTCGCCTGATATTGGATTAAAAAAAAATGAGAAAATGTTGACCCTTTGTGGGGGAAGTACCAGAAGGGTCCCATCTTCGGGCTTAACCTAGACATCTTAAAGATATTGGGTTGTGCCTGAAATTAGATTTACAAATATTGAAATACAAATATTTTACCATTTGTGAGGGATCTACCAGAAGTAGTGAACCAATGGGTCCCAAGATCGGACTTGATATAGGCTTGGTAAAGATAATGTTTTGTGCAATGTTTGGTTCAAATCGGACATTCCATTGTTATTGGATTTATAAATATTGAAAATGTTGACTATTTTTGTGCGAGATACCAGAAGGAGAGGATTGACGGGTCCCAACTTCGGACTTGATCTAGGCTTGTTAAAGATGACAGTTTGTACAAAGTAAGATTCAAGTCGGATATTCCATTCGCCTGATATTGGATTCATATATTGAACATTATTGGGCATTCGGGGAGGTACCAGAAGAAGTATCCCATCTTGGGGCATGATTAAGGCTTGATAAAGGTATTAGGTTGTACAAAGTTTTGTTATGCTTACATGTTTTTAAAAATTAATTTTTTAGCAAAATTTTGACCATTTTGTGAGTGATATACCAGAAGGAGTGAACCGATATTCTCCATCTTCGAATTTGAACAAAGTTTAGTTGAAATATTAAGATGGACATAAGGCCAAGCGTATAAAAACCTATTAAGAATTTTGTCTTTCTAAATTCTTCATTTACTCGGCCCATGAAGAAGTTTCTAACCCCCAGACAATGAAATCGATTTTGTGTCACAGTGTCATTCATAAAAAACTCATGTCGATTGGTTTATATCACTGATGGTCACCCATATACGCTACCGTAATATAGCGTCAATCGTTAAACACGTTTTTCTTTTCATCAGTCGTTTTTATAATGAATTATCAGTTACACTCATATATAAGTTTTGATGCACTTCGAAGCAAATGGTCGACTGTTTCTTCTGTAAAACTGTGGCGACTGTTCTGCTTGAGCGACGTAGGACGGGCAATTCTAAAGCGGTGTACACACTATCATTTTTGACTGTCAATTTTTTATCGATTACTGACTGTCCAACAACCCTAAATATTTTCGTGGTTGCCTGATGAATGACAAACATGTGAGGCCACACTATCAAACAAGCAAAATTTGGGCAAGAGTGCCATTCAAAAATGCTAGTGTGTACACCGCATAAGTGTACATCACATTTTTTGTGTTTAGACTTCAAAGATATTCAAAAGACGGACCAGAGAAATGTTGTGGACATTGCCATGGTCCACAATTACTTCTTTTGTCCGTCTTGTCTGAACTCTCACTCAACGACTCAAGCCAATGCCTGTTCAATCGGTTGAAATTAAATAATTTTATGACTCAGCTGACGTACAGCCCTGACGCGGCGCCCAATCAATTCTATTGATGCTTGGTAGACGATTTTCGTTGCCAAAATTTGCTGTTGAAGCATTGAAAAATCAGAAACATAGTTGCATTTCTATCATGTCGCATTCAACGTTGAAATATTTGTGAAGCCAATTGCATTCGATATGTAAGAATGTTTCCGAATGGAGTGGATTTGAGACAACTATTCTACAGAATAAACTGAAATATTTGACTTTTTCACTGCCCCTGAATTCGATAAGCTTTTAATTCGATTTTAAATTAAGCCACGTAACAATACTGTACTAATTTGTTCCAATCCGAATTTTACTGCCCTGTAGTTATCCTTGGTTATATATCACCTATAATCCCCCTTTTGAATCTCTCGACAAACACACATGCTGGTAACTCTCTAATTCTTATCTGCTACCCTGGCAATGAACAACATTTGCGTTCTCATCCATTCAAACAATACCCTCGCACACATGTAAATTATATTGATAAATAAAAACATTTATATCTGCAAATTCTCTGTTATTATTTTCATTACAAAGCACGTGAGTGCAGAGCGCGCAAGAGAGAGATAAAACATAAAGCTTTCATTGTATCTCTCTCCCATGCGTTTCCAACCAAGTGGGGTGGCTTGTGGGCAGGGCTGCCAGATTTGACGATTTATCGTCATTTTGACGATTTTTTGGTCAAAAATTGAAAAATGACGATTTGACGATTTTTGCCCAAAAAATGACGATTTTTGGTCATTTTAGTAATATTGCAATATTTGGGTTCTTTTTGTTATGGCAACATCAAAAATGTATAAAGCGAAAGAAAAAGTGAAAAGAATTTGAATATTTGGCAGCTATACTTTGTACTGTTACAAAGCCAACAACAGTTTACGTTTACCCAGATAGATGAAAAACTACCAATCAGCTGTGCCGTTCTCTGGGTAGACAGCAACAAAACAAATAAAAGTTAACGGTTGTTGTTTTTGACACGGGCAAATTGAAGAAAATTGGTGAACGGAAACGTTGTTATATTAAATTTAGGTTTCAATATATACAAAGTTATTACAATTTTAAAAAGATTCGATTTGAAAGCATTTTTAAAATTGTATCTATGATAAGTCCCACGTATATTAGTAATGAAAAGAATAATTCATTTTTCGATATCCTTAAAGAATTTCCACATTTTGTGAACGAAGATGAAAAACAAAAAATTGGATTCAGAATTTCGCGAACTAATGTTGTTTGATTTTGATTTGTGAAAATGATGAAACCGATTTATTTCCTTTTTTGGAATGCAATATTTGATTTGAAACGTGGTGATGGTTCATATGTTTTTCCTATAATAACTAAATTTGTACGGAAGGTAATGGTATTACCCCATTCCTCAGCAAATATTGAGCGTGTTTTCAGCCAAGTAAATCTTAATAAAACGAAAAGTCGAAATTCCCCCAATAAGGATTCAATGGAGAAATTCATACCAAATATTATTTAAAAGTTAACAAAACAAATTGTTATGATACGATAATTAAAACCGACATGTTGAAAATGATTAACACAAATATTTCCTTTCAAAATGAATGACTTTATTAAAGTCGAAATGACTATTCATATATTTATTTATAAAATAAATGAATTTCTTGATTAGCTTTAAAAAAACGTGTTTAATAAATTGAATACCTCTTTTATGTTCCTTTTAATAAAAAAAATATATTTAAATATATCTAAATGTGCGTATTTAAATTTTTGACGATTTTTGATAAAAAAAATCGTCATTTTGACGATTTCCCCAAAAAAAATCTGGCAGCCCTGCTTGTGGGGCTGCATTCAAATAATTATCAAAAACAACAAATGTTTAAGTTAAACAGAGTGGTGTCGTTGTGTTTGCTTACCAGCAACAACAAAAACGACAAGCTTTTCTACAAGACAACAAGTGCCACTGAATTTTTCGTATCAAGAAAGAGCGTGAGAGAGAGTAGCTCTTTTGTTGTTATTTCGAAAAAAATAAAGCTATTTTCTGCTGCTTCTAATCAGGTGACCTGTTGTTGGGAGTCGACTTGTTGTAGGGGGAATTTAATTTCAGTCTTTTGTCCAAGTATCTGGCGGAACGTTGAACGAGAAAATTAAGAAAATAAATTTTGAAGGATAAATAAAAATAAAATATGGGAACCGGTAGCGCAAATTACACCCCACCAGAATGGATAACAGCTGAATTTCTACAGGATGTGCTAAAGGAATATTTCAAAGATGACACCTTGGAAGTCCATGAAATTGTTGTGAAAAGTGTTGGCACGGATTTGGCCAGAGGCAGTGGTTTTGCTAGTGAAATGCATCGTGCCATTTTCAATTTGAAACGTAATGATGTTACCGGCAAATTTTCCGTCATTATCAAGGTAAGAGATGAAGTTCAAGGGGATATTATGAAATATCGATGACAGGGAACTGGAGATTCTGAATGTTTGAATAATTATTTTATGTGACAAATATTCTGTGACCACATTTTTTGAGTGTTGTTTTTGTAAAGGTTTTCTTATCAAACAGATAAAACTATTAAATGGCGACAAACATTAGGTTTTCTTTTTATTATTTAACAAACTCACATGGACACGATTATAAAAAGCGTTTAAAAAATGTTCACTAAAAATCGTTGTATTTTTATTAGCGGATATTTGTATTGTGAAAAAACGTAGATAGAAAATGTAAATAAAATATGAAATAGGTGCGTATGTGTACAATAGGGAAGGTCGATTTTTATTATATGGAAAATGTTTAACATATACATCTAAGATAAAATCGCGATCTATTATGAATCTTATTTTAGATGTCATCATTAATATAGGAACATGTTTTGATATAGCCCCCATATAAATATCCCTAATTCAAGCCTCATCGACTTTAATAACATCGATAAGACTGTAATTTGCCATTCTGGGTTACCGTGGGCTGAAAATCTCTTGGCATAAAATTTTCATTACAGGTCCATGTCTTGACATAGTCCCCTAACAAAAATTCCGAATCAATATTCATTACTTCGAAAGTCATAGCCGAATTTTCGGACCAAAATGTTGAATTCATTCGATTAGTATGGAATATATGATATTTTAAAATCTAACCCTTTGTAGAACAGGTGGCGGAAAAAGTGGGCCCACATATCCACCTTCAAATTTGATATAGATTCTGTAAAACAGGTTTGATGTACAAAATATAGTTCGATTTATGAATTGGGTATCAGAAGGACCGAATCTGATCCATATTGAGCACAAACAATATTTATGTAAATCGAGAGAAATATAGGAGTTTTGGTTAACCATTTAAATTAAATCGGATGAAAATATATATATGGGAGCTACATCTAAATCTGTACCGATTTTCACAAAACTTGGCACACATACTTCTAGAATCAATTCAGAACACTATACACTATTTCGTGCAAATCGGAAAAATATAGGGGCATTGGTCCACCATTTACATAAAATCGGTCGAAAATATATATGGACGATATATCTAAATCTGAATTGATTTTCACTAATTTTAATAGCTTTGTCCTTGGCCAAATAAATGAGCATCTCCAAATTTCATCCAAATCGGTTTATCAATACGACCTGTACTTTGTTTAGAATTTTACATCAAAAGACGGACGGACATGCATAGATCATTAATTCATGTTTTTTGACCTATGGCAAATTTTTCTTTTCGAATTCTCGATATACTCGCCTTTCATCCTAAAAGAATTGGGGCACCCCCTCCTGACCACGAGCTGCACTCTTCGCAAAATGTTATTTATTTATTTTTTTACAAGATCTATAAGAATTTCATTTTGCATTTTCAGGAACATCCCAAGGGTTACACAGGTGTTGTGGCACACAAGAGTAAACTTTTCAAACGTGAAATTATGGCCTACAAAGAAATAATACCACGCGTTGAAGAACTACTCGCCTCCATTGGTGATACCACCAAAGTTGCTCCCGCTTGTTACTATACCACTGAGACACCACAACCATTCCTTGTACTCGAAGATATGAATTTAACTGGTTTTGAAAATTTCGAAAATGGACGTTTACTCAATTTGGATCATGTCCTACCGGTAATTGAGAAATTAGCTAAACTGCATGCCTGTTCAGCTGTTATTGCTGCTGAAAATCCTAAAATTATGGAATTCTTTGAAGAGGCACCAATATCCCGCAATCCTGATCGTAAAGATTTCTTAACATTCTTTCCCGTCAATATCCGCTGTGTAGCCGAGGAGATTGCCCACTGGAAGGGTTTCGAAGAAATCACCGAGAAAATGTTTAAATTGGCGGAGAAAGTTTTGCCAGCCGCTGTGGAAATGTATGAATCGCATGAAAACGGTTTCCGTGTATTCAATGTGGCCGATTTGTGGGTGGATAATTTAATGTTCCATCTGAATAATGAGACCAAGGAGCCCGATAATGTGGTGTTGGTGAGTTAAAAAAATACGAATATATATTCTTCTTAAAAAATTATCCACGTTCAATTTTGAATTGTTTATAACATTTGTTTCTTGTTATTATCCTCTAGTTGGATTTCCAATTGGCCTATTATGGTTCACCAGCCATGGATTTGAATTATTTCCTCTATGGCTCACTTAACGAAAATGTACGCAAGGTCCATTTGAAATATATTGTACGTGAATATCATCGCATCTTTAAGGAAACTTTGGAGAAGTTACACTATGAAGGTGACATACCTTCCTTGAAGGATACCACCATTGAAATCATTAAAAATAGTTTACAAGGTAAGACCCATTGATGCTTCATTCCAGCATACCTTTAATAAATGTATTTATGTTTTTTAGCTGTCATCGCTGCCACCTGCCTCACACCCATCATTTTCATGGACAAAGATGGTTTCCAAAATTTGGAACATCTAACCTCACGCACCGAAGAAGGTGATCTGTTGCGTCGTCAAAATGTTGAAAATCCAAAATATCGTCAATTTTTACAACGCACAGTTAAAGAATTCGAATTGAGTGGTTTCCTAGACCTATAAAGTATTTTGCATTTTTTCTTTTTGTGGTTAAGTTTGTTTGTAAGCTTTGATCTGTTTTAATGTTTTTGATTCTTTGTGTTGTTTTACAAAAAATGTTATAAGCAATTTGTATTCCTATTAAACAGTATTTTTACACACTAAATATTTGTTTAATTTTTCATTTTTATAATCAATTTTCCAGCCACATATATCTACAAAAGAAAGGGCTTGGGCATAGTGGAAACATTCTATGGCACATCTCTACCCAAAAAGCTTATAAACATCCTATATAGTTTGCAGATCTAAATAATATATTTTAAGAATAACATTCAAAGTTAAAAACGCGGGTAACATTCCAAGCGTCTTCGTAGCTAGATGCGTCGATTTTGAAAATATGTTTTTCATTAAAGGCGTGGATTTTGGCAGATTGCATTTTCTTAAGAATATTTTTCAGAAGATTCAGAAGAAGATTTCCTGGATTTATTGTTAAGTAAAATTTTGTCAGTTTGTTTAGGGAGAGTTTTTAAATAATATTTTATGAAGCTCAGATTTATAAAGAATATTTTTGAAGGTCTGTCGGAGATTGAAAATAGCATTTTTAAAAATAATCAATCTGATCTAGATCAGCAATAATCATCAGAGCTAGAGTGTATATTTTTAATAACGTTTTTAGAAGGCCGATCAAGCCTCATTAGAGCTGAGAAAAATTTTAAAGAATATCTTCGAAACTTACAAAGTAGATTGAAAATGTAAATAAAATAATAAATAGGTGCGTATGTGTATAATAGGGTTGGTCGACTCTTATTATATAGAATGTTTAACATTATTTCAGAGGCCATCATTATTATAGCGTAATTTTTTGATATAGTCCTCATATAAATAAACCGGATTCTAGCCGCATGACACCGATAAGACTATAATTTGGCTTTTTGGGTTTAGGTAGGGTGAAAAACATTTATGCAGAAAATTGTCATTACAGGTCCATGTTTTGAAATTGTCCCATACAAAAATACCGACTCAATATTCAGAAAAAAAAACAATTCGTATATTATATGAATAGTTAGGTTTTCTATGGCACAGGAACTCTGTGTCGTTTTAATTTTTCTACACTTATTCCATGTATTGTATTTGACATTTATATCGAAATAATTTGAAAAATACACATGTGAATTATACAATACAATGCAGAGGTCAGTAACAGTATTTAAAATAAAGAATAGAATACCAAACAAGGACACAATGAGTTAGTTAGTGTATGTTAGCAAAAGAAACAGTAGTCGAACAGTTTCTTGAAGAGTTTTATGTGAGTACCTGCCTATTGGCCTGCCTCTAAGAGGCTGAGCCACAGGCGGAAAAGGGCCCACCAGCACCCCAGCACCGATGTGCTGTACCAATCGGAGAGAGTGTAGAAGACACACTCTCCCCCTTGGTGAGGGGCGAAATCACAACCCCAACAGTTGCAAAAGGAGGACGATACCAAAACCAAACACTGCCGAACAATAGTGGTGGCGTTTTCTCATGGAAGGAATACATTTGTTTTTTGGAAAGAAAGGAAAAGAAAAATATGGGAGCAAATAGGGTTAAGTAGATCAAAGTAGGAAAGTAATGTTGATATTAATGAAAAATCTTGCGACATTGAACGATCGTATACAGTGTTAAACATTCGGATTGGCGTGGTGCTTGTATTAACCCATTTTTCATATATTGTATTTGACATTTATGTCGAAATAATTTGGAAAATACATATGCGAATTTTATAACACAAAAAATGGAATGCAAAACAAACCACACAATAGAGTGAGTGGAGAGGCGGCGGTTGTTAGTAAATGAAACAAACGGTTGCAAAAATAACAACCATCAAGTGTGGGGCAGAGAACAGTGGTGATGGTGTTGTTTTCGTTTTTTTTTTTTTCTTGAAAGAAATACATTTGTTTTTGTCAAAAAGAGAGGGAGAAAGAAAAATATGAGCTCAAATAATGGTAAAGTAGATCAAAGTATGAAAATAATTTTGATAATAAAGAAAGTTTACATTTTTTCGGAAAGAAGTGGCTTTTCATGATTATAAGAATTTTTACTTTTTTCTAAGCTAAGTATATCTACAAAATGGAAGAAATAAAGTATGAATTATAAACTTATGAAAATATTGATAAAAAATTAGTTTTCTGTGTAGCCGAACTTTCGAAGCGAAATTCGGGTTTCATTCGAATAATATGGAATATATGATTTTTCCAAATTTAATCATTTGTAGGGTAAAGGTGCGGGTATAGGTTTAGTAAAAAAGGTTTGATGTTCAAACTATAGTTTATTTTAGGATTTATATTTCTCAAAATATTGACCATTTCTGAGTGGAGAGATCAGAGTGATATGCTTCATGTTAAGCATAAAATATTCCGCTGAACATGGGACATATAATTTTTTCTAATAATTAAATATTTGCCCAACCTCCATTATTTAACATTTTCCGAATTTACAACATTAGGGCCAAATCTATTCCGATCAATACTAGAAGTGTGGATTGTTTTAAATAATATTTTTGAAAAGGCGAACAAACTGGATGCGAGGGTTTTAAAAATAATATTTTTTCAAGGGTTACCAGAACTAGAGGAGTGTTTTCAAATAATATTAGTAAAAATCTCATCATAAAGCTTATTGGACTCAGAAGTACCATCAGAGCTAATTGCGTTGATTTTTCAGCCAAGAATCGTTTGAGCTAGAAGTGTAGATATTTTATATTTTTCAAAGGATTATTGAAGCTTGAAGAAAATTTGTCAAGTGCCAGCAGAAGTAAGAGCGAGGGTTTTTTAAAGAATATTTTTCAAAGATCTTAATGTGCAAGATTTGTTGAAAGGCTTAAAGATTTTTTTTTTTGAATATATTACAGATTTCAAGTCAAGTCTCACATAAACTGAAGTCCCCATATCTATCTTCTATATCTATAGGATCTATACACAGATGTCCTTGTCGATATATCCTACTGTCATTTCCCAAAATCTCTTATTTTCTTCAGGTATATTTGGACTTGTTAAATAAAATTCGTCCTCAATATAGCGACTCTCTAAAACAGATATTTTCTGACAGATATTTCATATTTATAGTTTTCAATGCATTTTTACATAAAACACAACTCTTTTTCGTTAGCCTCCTTGTTATCACATCCAAAATTACATATGGAGAACAAAATATTTATCTTACAAACGAAATTGACACTTAAAACTAAACCACACCAAAATTTCAAGATAAAAACTATAAAATCAAAATAGAATTTTCCCCCTTTCCCGCTTCATTGATCCTTCTCGAGAAGACCTCGCTGATCATAGACGGGCAATAATTGGCGTACCATACGATGAACAAAGGGATTTGTGTAGCAGGTATTCTTGAAACGTATGGCCCGTTCGTCGGTCTGCATGAGGGCATTGAAATCGGCATCGTCATTTATGACATTGCGCTGAATGGGTTGGACCACACAGGTGGTATGCATGGCTAAAAATAAACAATTTTTTTATTTCCTTTAAAAAGCAAATTTTCTTCACCTACCATAAAACGACTTTTCCTGCAATTGCTGATGGAATTTGTGTAAACTTGGTATGTCACCTTGATACCGCAACTTTTCCAAAGTCTCCCTTAAGTGGATGTAGTAATGTTGTATCAATTCATCCTGCTTGTGCAAATGCATCTCTTCGGTCAACGAAGAATTGAACAAATAGAAGAGATCCGCTGCCGGTGTTGTCCAGGCGGAATATTGGAAATCAATGATGATAACATCGAGGGGTTTCTTGGTTTTCTTATCGTATTTAACCAAAACATTATTGGTCCAGAGATCACCATGAGCAAAAACGTTGAGATGTGAGGGTAGAGGATCAAATACCCTCTTGCCCAATTCCATGTAAAATGGTGTCAGTTCCACTAGTTTTTTGTGCAAGTGCTTAAATTCTGGCCATTGGGCCACACGACGGGTACAAGCCTCAAAACAGCCCACAAAACATGGTGCATACACCTCAGTGTGATGATTAAAAAATCCCTTGTCGTAGTGCTCCAAACAGTGGGGTTGGCGTTCATTTAACACTGCCGAACAGGCATGCATTTTGGCCAATTTCCTCAAGACAATTTTCGTAGTTTCCATATCCAAACCTTGGAGGCGATCTGGCATAATGAAATCCCGTTCATTGAGATCTTCAAATACCAAGACAGATTTTTCACGATCCACAGTCATGGTTTCGGCAAAGATCTGCTCATCATCACCGATTTCTTTAAGTAAGGCTTTCAGCTTGGGCAATACCTCCTCATAGATTTCAATTTCCCGATTGAAAATATCGTAGGGTTCCATGGTTTTGCAGGCCAATTCATCACCCTCAAAGGAGGTCTTGACAATAAAACCGCCCTTTTTCAGGCATCCTTTGGAATTTTTGTATTCAGCCTTGACACGGGTTAGGAGACCACCATAATTTTCACCCTTGCCCAAGGCAGGTTTGGCATGGAGTTTTACCACTTTGATGCTGTCATCCTGATAATAAGATCTCAGACATGACTCCAGATAATCTTTGGTAAACCATTCGGGACAATCTTCAATGATAACGTCTTCTGGACACTTTTTTGCCTTGGGCAAAGATTTTTCAATATTGGCAATTATTTCCGATGCTGACATTTTGAAATGTTTTGTGTTTGTTGTTCTTCTTCTTTTTGGCGGATGATGTCCTTGATGTTACGAATTTTAATCTAAAATTGACTACTACTTGACATTGTCTGCTGTGTGTAAGTGGTTAGCAGGCAATGACGCCGTTCCTTAATCCCGTTACTCTATATATTTCAAATTCTTTGGATTTTGATATCTAAATATGACGGTTTTGTTGTTGTTGTAGTTGTTCTCCAAGCTTATTAATTTTGATTTATGTCCGTGACTTTTTCACAGCAGTAACAGCGGCGGTGGCGGCTACTCGTAATGCACTTTAGCCATATACAAATATTCACCTCCTTTGTGTAGTGTAAAAGTAAATATTTAAATAGATTTGATTATTAGCTAACGAATCTGACGACAGTCATAGGCTGATAAAATAAAAAAAAAAATCTGTTATATATTCCTATCATAAATGACGAAACCCTGGATACACATTTTTATAAACTTGTCTCCTGTTCAAGTCGTATGTGAAATGGGGCCCCTACACGCTTACCAATGACGCCTTGCCCAACTAAAAAAATATTAAGAGCCGCGAGCCTATCTGAAAACCCAGATAATACTAAGGGATATACATATGTTTGCATAAATTCTTGAATTATGTGAGTTTTCCAAAAAATCTAGAACCTTTTAAGAGATTTTTGAGAATTTCATTTCTTATAACACACAAAAATCCCATTGTCATCCAAGGATCCTAGGCTTTTCATTTATATTTCCACTTTTGATACCGATTGTAAATCGCCATATTTTTTATTACGGTCGTAATTTCAATTGGCATCTCTTCTTTGTTCGGCTACAGTTAGATAATCCCGATTACCCTTTTCTTTTGTTTAAATGAAAGAGCGTTGATATCATTACTTTTATTTAAGTAAATCATAAAATGACACTTGCCTTTGTCGTGTCGCAAATTATAGATGTAATATTTTCGTAATTGACTGACGGCGAAGAGCATTCCCGGTGCATATGGAAGCCGACAGTAGTGGCATATGTCTAGCTGCCGGTGACTACTATTCTCATCACCAGTGGTGTAATAAAAAATCACGATTTAGACATTCTTTAGTCACAAAAATTATAACAACAAAAGTAAGATTTGAGACAATGTATTCACTTCCCTGGCACACTGTTTCGAATTGGGTAAAAAATACGGAATGGTATATAAAAAATTTATTGGTGTTCACGTGACTAAACATGTATTTTTTCCTCCAAGAGGAAATTTAAAGACCTACCTTAATGTATTTTGTAAAATTTGTGAAAATACACAGACCTTTATGCATATTCTATAGAAAATCTATAAATGACATATAAAAGGTGTTCCATCTACAAACGACCTTAAGGATAATTTATCTCTTTTACATCTTTTAAACATTGTAGGTCATATACGCTGAAAAGAATTGTTAATGACTATTTTCATAATTTCATTTATTTTTTCTCACGCACCTCGATTAGGATGCAAGAAAAAAAAATTATAATCATTAGAAAGCCACTATTTTTCCTAAAAAATGTAAACATTCCTTTAATATCAAAACTATTTCCATACTTTACTCTCTTTTAAAACTATTTGCTCTCAATTTCTTTCTCTCACACTCCCCCTATTGACAAAACAAATGTATTCCTCACCATTCATTGTTCGGCTGTGTTTTGGTTGTGGCAACGTTCTCTGTCTCTCCCCTCATTTGGTGGTTGTTAGCTTTGTAACCGTTTGTTTGTCTACCGTTTCTCTTGTTTACAATCGCGGTCTCTCAATACACTCGATTGGCTAGTTTTGAATTCCATTGTTTTTTATTTAAGACATTGTTACTGACATTTGCATTGGTCTTATAAAATTCGCATATGTATATTCCAAATTATTTCGATGTAACTATTAAATATAACACATAACTGTTGATAAGAACAACAAACTCAACCGAAATAGGATTCTTATAATGCCGCAAAATAAGTACATCATGTGTAAATATAAAAAATGGAGACAAAACAATAAAGAAAACATAAAATCAAAATAGTGAAATAAAATAATAAATAGTATCTGTGTCATAGAAACCCATCCACCAACACCAAACACTACTCTGAAATTTGTTTACGCTCTCTCTCTCTCTCTGAGAAGAAACCAGTATTCAATGTTTTATGAACTTCATTCATAAAATGCAGAAATACGAAAAATTTCTTTCTTCCTGAACAATATTCATATAATATACGAATTATTTTTTTCCCCTATCACATGTGTAGGCCTCATACCGGGATTCAAAAGGCAGATATATTTCTATAGATTTTCAAAATAAAAATAACATTCTGCAGGTCTACAATTAGAAGGTCTCTTTAGCATAATAATTTTTATTTTAATTTTTTAATTATTATCTGCACGTAGGAGCTTCTGCTGATCTGTAGATCTTCTACAGATTATTTTGTAGGTCCTTTAAGGGTTGTGGAGCTCTAATAGGTGTTCTAAGGATACAATATCATGGATAGACATTTCCTTGCATATGATGGAATAACTTCGAGTGTGCAAAATAGTTTGTAATCATGACTCTTATGGTTGAAGGAATTCCAAAAAAAATTTTATTGTGAACATGTCCTCAATTTTTTACAACTTGGCTACAGTGTAAATGAATTGAAAATTGATTTTTTGTAAAGGAAATGGTGTTACAATTAATGTAAATAAGATTCAATATAAGTAAAGCGCACTAAGCGAATAATAACACATATCTTTCCTTAGCGGTCAGTAGACATACGTTTGAAACGCTTTCAGTGTAAAACAATCAGTATCAAAAAAATATTTCTATCAACCATATAAACTCTCCTCAAACATTTCCCGACATGGCAATTCCCAATTGGCTGACGCAGGACTATATTGAAGAAGTCCTCAAACTATATCATCATGATGTTACAGTGAAAATCAACAATTTCAATAGTAAAGCCGCCTTCGGTAAAGGTGAAAATTATGGTGGTGTTATGACAAGAATCAAAGTCAGCTATGATCGCCTGAATAATTCCATAAAGGAGGAGAAAAATTTATTGGTGAAAAATTCATATGAAGATGATGAATTTTCAAAGGAGAAAATGAAACCCTACGACATTTTCAATCGTGAAATGTCCATTTATGATCAGGTATTGCCAAAGCTAAATCAACTAATGGCTGAGATTGAGGATAAGGATCAACTATTTGCAAATGCGCTATATACCGACTATAAACGACAAGCTCTAATTTTTGAAGATCTTTCCCAACAAGGGTTCGTAACGGCTAATCGCATTGAGCGGCTAGATATGGATCACGTCCAGTTGGTTTTGAGAAAATTAGCTAAAATGCATGCCACATCGGCGGTGCTCAATGAACGTGAGAAAGGTTGTTTGGAAAAGTACGATCGAGGATTCTTCAATAAATACACCGATACGTACAAAACGTTTTTCGTTAACACCTTCTTGGCATGTGCCCGTTATTTGCAGAGGCAACCAAATGCACAATATTATGCTGAGAAAATATTTGCCATGGAACCCTATTATATGGATATTGGTTTGCGTTGTTTTATGCCCACGCCGGGGCATGTCAATGTGTTGGCTCATGGTGATGTTTGGACCAATAATGTCATGTTTAAATATGACGCGGCAACTAAGAAGCCTATTGATGTTATTCTAATTGATTTTCAATATTCATTTTGGGGTTCTCCGGCTTTGGATTTACATCATTTCTTTAATACCTCACTCAAGGAGCCATTAAGGAGAAATCATCAGGATGCTTTGTTTCAATTTTATCATCATTGGTTTACCGACACATTAAGGAAATTGAAGTATTCATCCCTTCCCATACCCAGTTTGAAGACATTCAATCAACATGTGGAACAGAAGAGATTTTTTGGTAGGTATTTTGTTGTTGCAAAATATTTAAATTAATTTTTTTTCATTAATTTTATTTTTTTCTGCAGCTCTACATTCGGGTGTTGTCATCCAACCGGTAATGTTGAATCAAGATCCCACAGATGCTGATTATCAAGCCTTAATGGATGTGGATGAGCGTGCCATGAACTTCAAGGCCCGCCTCTATAATAATAATCCAATAATTCAGGAAAATCTTAAATTCCTATTGCCGTATTTTGATCACAAGGGACTTTTGGAAGTTGATCAGTGATAAAAGTTTGAAGGAAAATAAATAATTATAAAGAAATCCTTAAGGGAAGGAATTTAAATAATAAATCGATCAGTGATAAAAGGTTGACAAAATATAAATAGATATAAAGAAATGCTTAAGAGGAGCGATTCAAATAATGAATCTATATGTATAATTATAATTAAACATGTTTATGTATTTTTCAATTAATTAATATTTTTCAAGAACCTTCACAGTGGAAAAATTGATTTTTAAAGCGAATACATAAAAGAAAAAACGTGAATTTTTGAAGCTTGATTTTTTTAAATAATATTTTTGCAAGGATCATCGGAACTAGAAAAGTGTTTTTAAGAATATTTTTACAGGGATTGTTGAAGCTAAAAGCGTGGACTTTTTAAATGATACTTCAAGGATCCTTGAAACGTGGATTTTTTGGCACCGATGATCTTTTCAAGGAACATCGATGATATTTTTTAAAGACTTCCTCAGCTTGGATTTTTTTAAGATAATATATTCAGGGACGTACACAGCCATAAACGTGGATCTTTTTATAAAATGTTTTTCAAGGACTTCCACAGACATATGCGTGAATTTTTATAGAACAGCCTAAAGCTTGGATTTTTTACAGACCAGATAAAAGCCGGGATTATTTTTATGAATATTTTATGGACTATCCCAGGTAAAAGCACATATTTTTTAAAGAATATTTTAGACTACCCTAGATAAAAGCGTGGCTTTTTTACAAATATTTTAAAGAAACTTTGATTTTTTAAAGTGTATTTTTCAAAGACTTCACAGCCTAAAAACTATCTCAGATAAAAACGTGGATTTTTGGAAGACTATTACAGATAAAAGCGTGAATTTTTTAAATAATAACATAAGCACTATCCCAGATAAAAGCGTGGATGTTTTAAAGGAAAAATTCAAAGACTATCCCAGATAAAATCCTGCATTTATTAATATTTAATATTTTCTTGAGGTCCTTCAGAGCTGGAAGAACTTCTACAGACATTTTGTGGACATACGCCAATCGGAGAGCCTTGTGTAGAATAACTAACAGATCTGCTGTTGAAAGAATACCGTTTAATAGCCATTTTAGCCAGAAGACCTTCCACTGGTGTAATATAGATGTAAGATCTTTCAACGATGATCTACTGTCCTTCTAAGTTCACACAATTTTTATAAATCCTGTAGAGGAGCTTTTATTGACACATTATAGACTGTATATATAAAAATTGGGTCTATTTAGAGGCCTACAGAGTCTTCTGTAGACAAATGGCCTCCTAAAATCCTGCCATAGACAGACGACTTCCTATAGACCGGATTTTACACAGGTGTTTTATAGTTCACCAACATGCAGAATGTCTATATGCACATATATGGCCTTCTACAGGATCGATGTCATTCTAGAGAAGACCTTATGTAGGTATCCTATATACTATAAAGTCTATAGATGGTCCTTATATTCTATACGCAGATGAGCTACTGCAGCTTTCCCACAGATAGAAGACATTCATTCACATTCTTCTTTTGTAAGAATGCTCTCTAAAGATTCCTTTTAGATTTCCTTGCCATAATTCATTTATGGGACTTTTTATTCCATCTACCGTTAAAGGACATTGTAGAGATATCCCATATATGTTTGCCTGTGCCTTTTGGTCATTGTATAGAGTATAGGATCTCGAATACCTCTCGCTGTATTTAGAAATAAAAATTAATTTCCTTTCTCTTCATATTTGAATAGAATCGAGTTAATTTCAAACATTCAACTAAACTGAAATGCCTATAATACAGGTAATAATAGAAAACTTGGAGATTAGTTTATTTACATTACCAAAAAAAAAAAATGTCGTAAAATGTCTAAGATTTGACATTTATAATTGTGACATTTATCTCAATTAAAATATCACAATGTAAATAATAGAATTGTACACAGGGTAACAGTGGCAACGAATTTGAAATACCTTACAAAGGGAATATTTGCGACAGTTAGACGAAGAGGTAAGCCAAAATATATAACAGAATCGGCAACGTTAGCTTCTATAAGAAATATAAAATAATGATGACCCTCAAGTCCCCAGTAGATAGCCGCATTTTTCCACGTTATTCCTCATATCTCACATTTAGTCTTAATCCCCAACACCATGCCATCATTTAGATGTGTAGCAGTTCTAATAAACGAATTTTATGAAAGGTATAAAAAGCCTTTTATCAGCTACTAGAAGCTTTTAGATATTCTGAAATCTCGCACTGCACACAATACCTGACACCAGTTTCTCTTTTGTATTAAATTAAATTATGAGTGAAGCAATTTCCTGGAAAGCGCCACAATGGCTAAGTAAAAAGTATTTGGAGGATGTACTCAAACATTTCCTGCAAGATAATACAGTTCGACTGCAAGGAATGGACCTGAAACCAGCCACGGCCAGTGGAGAAAATTATGCTAGTGTTATGACAAGAATAAAACTCTCGTACACTACGGAAAAGGATTTCAATGTTCGGAATTTGCCAATGATTATGAAATGTTCTTACGAAAATGATCCATTTGTGGCGAATATTATGAACGGTTACGATGTCTATAATACGGAAATGAAAATGTATGAAAAAGTGTTGCCACAAATGGCAGACATTTTGAAGGCATCTGGTGATAATGAGAAAATATTCGCCACCACCTATAAAGTGGATTTTGAGCGGTGCACCATTATCTTCGAAGATTTAGCGGCAACAAATTACATCCTCTCAGATCGTCTTAAGGGTTTGGATAAGGAGCACACCTTTGTGGTTCTAAAGAAATTGGCAAAATTCCATGCAGCAGCCGCTGTGCTCAATGAACGTCTTGGTGGTGCTTTGGAATCATTTCAACGGGGCATTTTTAATCGTCATACTCGCGGCTTGGGTCGTATGTTTGAGTATTTCACAGAGGCCTGTGCAAATTATGCCAAAGAATGCCCTGACTTGGGTCCTTACTATTATGATAAATTAATGAAATTAAAACCCCATGTTGTGGTCTATGGTATTAAGGCCGCATCGCCAAGGGAGGATCTCAGTTTTTATACATTATGTCATGGTGATTTGTGGATTAATAACATGTTAATGCAATATCGTGAAGCGGATAAGTCGGAAAAAAAGAAATTGGAAAATCTTTTATTTGTTGATTTTCAATTCAGTAATTGGTCTTCTCCGGCTGTAGATTTGTTTTATTTTTTTAATACCTCATTGGAACCGGAATTACAATTGAATGCTGACATCCAAGCGGAAATTGTGCAATATTATCATTCGATTTTGTGGGATATGCTAAAGAAGTTGAATTACAAAGGTCACATACCAACATTGCATGAGTTGTGTGTGCAGTTGGAGGAGAGACGATTTTTAGGTAAGTGTTAAGGACTTCTTGAAGGGGTACTATAAAGCTGTCATCCTCTATGGAATTCTGATTTTTTTTCTTTCTTCAGCCCTCATTACAACTATAACAAATCAAGCTGTTGCCACCATAGACCAATGCGATGATGCTGACTTCCATTGTTTGGTTGATGACATAGAGCGGGCTAAAAAGTTCCGCAATAATTGCTATGAAAATAAACGCCATCAGAATATTATTAAGCAAATTTTACCTTATTTTGATCGTTGTGGTTTATTGAATGTACAATAAAAGAATTGCCAATGAATACCTGAGAGAATGTTATTTATTTTATAAAATATACAAAAGGTCATCTAACGATACATGTTCCTCCGAACCTGAGAACTCTAACCGTTTCTTTAAAAACCGGACCCAGGTAATAATTTGGATATTTGAAGAAGATTTATCTAACTCCTAACAAAGAAAGACAAAAAAATTTAATTTAAAAATTTAATATTCGGGAAAAAGAAATCCATTATTTTTATATTAACTATAGGAATGTCGGAATGTCCATATATGCAATGTGTTATATGATTTGTTGCCATTTTAAAGATAACTTCATAATGGCTCTCTCATAGAAGTCCTGCTCTCTATGTCCAAAAAAGCTCTAGTAGTCGATTTTCACAATCCTCCCTAGATACCAATTTTTTATCATTAAAGAAATTTTGGAATTCAAGAAAAGGATGATAATCTCTTGGTCCCAAGTCCGGACTGTATGATGAATGCATTAAAAGTTATCAACCAAACTCCCGTCGTGTCCTGCTGGAACACGACGCCTCTCCCGTTGGCCAATTCTGGCGGTTTCTGGTCAATTGCTATCTTCAAGCGGCCTAGTTGTTGACAGTAGAGATAAGAATATAGCGTTTGACAAGTTTGGAAGCAACTCATAAAAATAATCCACTTCCAGGCCCACCAAGTGATTATCAGAACATTCCTGGCCGTTAGTCCTGGTTTGGCCACCGTTTGAGGTGCTTCGCCGCTTTTTGACAACGATCGTTTTCGCACAGTGTTATCGTATTTGATCAATGCTCTCAACGGTTCGACACATATTTTAAAAAATTAATGAATATTTTCATAATTTCATTCATAGTTTTTTCCACGTTTGGAATAAAATTAAAAATTCTTATAATCATGAGAAAGTCACTTTTTCCCAAACAATGAAAACTTTTCATTAATATCAAAATTATTTTCCTACTTTGATCGACTTTACCACTATTTGCGCTCAAATTTTCTTTTCTCCCTTTGTTTTGTTTTGGTATCGTTCTCCGCCTCTCCCCTCACTTGATGGTTGTTAATTTTGCAACCTCTCTTTCCCTCTCTCTCTCCCTTTCTCTTACAAGAAAGCAGTATTTAAAGTTTTATGAATGGCATTCAAAAAAGCGCAGAAATCCAGACATTGGCAACACTTTTTGAACACTATTCATATAATATAAGAATTATTTTTTCTGTGTATGACTTTTTACATGTCTTCTATGTGTAGAAGGTCTTCTGTTGGTATTCCATCTATGAGACTTACAACTCCAATTTTCTATTCACTCTCTCTCTCCCTCTTAAAGAAACCGATATTTAATGTTTTATGTATGGCATTCATAAAATGCAAAAATTCGGACATTGGGAACACTTTTTGAACGCAATTCATATAATATAAAATTTTTTTCTGGGTAGAACTTTCTATCCGTCTTCTATATGTAGAAGGTCTTCTATTGGTATTCCATCTATGAGTTCTACAATGGTTCTTCAATATAAGCCTATGTATATGTTTATAACTGTTCCAGCCCTGTATCGCCATTCATCATAAACAGCACCCACTGTATTTTCTTTATTGTTCATTAGGCTTTGTTAATTTAAATAATAGTATGTATTTATGTGTGTATGTTTGTAATACACAATAAAGCTCGACGTTATTCTGTAAAGCTAATTCTCAAACACTATCACTTCGAATAAGACAACTGTACGGAGAGGAGCCACAGCGGATTTATTTTGATAGAACAAAAACCCGAATAGTGAACATTATGAGTGATACAATTACATGGCAAGCTCCGCAATGGCTAAACGATTCTGAATTTGTAGAGAAAATATTAAAAAACTATCTTCAAGATGATAAAGTGAAAATAGAAAATATCGACTTTAAACCTGCAACAGCAAATGGTGAAAATTATGCTAGTGTTATGACCCGCATAAAAATCTACTTCCATCAAGGAGAAAGTGAAGAAAATATCCAAAATTTGTCTTTCATAATAAAATGTTGTTATGGCAGTGATCCCATATTGGAAAATCTCATGAAAAATTACAATTTATATAAAACCGAAATGACAATGTATGAACACGTGTTACCCGAAATGTCGACACTTCTCCAGGCCGCCGATAAGGAAGCGGCGAATGAGCAGTTGTTTGCAAAAACCTTAAATGTGGACTATGAAAAGGCGACCATTATTTTTGAAGATTTATCAGCCAAGAATTATGTGATGGGTAACCGTTTGCATGGTTTCGATAAGCTGCATGCCCAGTTTGTAATGAGGAAATTAGCTAAATTTCATGCAGCCGCTGCCGTCTTGAATGAACTTCGGAATGGCGAACTGCAACAATTCGATAGGGGCCTTTTTAATCAACATACCCGTGGCTTGGGTTGTATGTTTGAATACATGATTGAGGAGTGTGCCAAGTATGCCTTGCGTGAACCCCAGTTGGGCAAATACTATCATGACAAATTAATGAAACTGCATCCCCATGTCGTGGACTATGCCACAGAGGCATATGCCACAAATTCTCCAAATCATTTTTATACTCTCTGTCATGGTGATTTGTGGATGATGAACATAATGGTTAAATATCAAATGGAAGATGGTGGAGTTGACGATAAGGAGGAGATTGCGAATAAGATTTTGGAAGATATTCTATTTGTGGATTTTCAATTTAGTTGTTGGGCTTCACCAGCCATTGATTTGCATTATTTCTTTAATACCTCTTTGGAGCCTGAATTGCAAATGGATGAGCGTGGCATAGCTGAGCTGGTTCAGCTTTATCACAGTAATTTAAGTGAAATGTTGATGAAATTAAAATACAAAGGGCATATACCTACACTGCGGGAATTGCGGTTACAATTGGAGGAGCGGAAGTTTTTGGGTAAATATTTTTGTTATATTTCCTTATAAGATAAATAAAAAATGTATTGATTATTACTATTTACATTAACAAATTCAAAATATTTAATTAAATTAAATGTTCGTAAAAAACCACGTACTGTTTTTGAAAGCAACGTGAGAGAATGCGGGTTGAACGCATTTAAAATAATGAATCAAATTCCATAATTTCCATGTGTTTAATATTTTGTCCTGTTGATATAAGTTTGGTTTATTCAAAAATGTTTTGTTTGGTTTCCTCCATAATAATTTTATATTTGTTTTTTCCAGCTGTTACTGGCATCCTTTCGGACCAAGCCATTGCCACCTCAGATCAATGTGATGATGCCGATGTCCACTGTTTGTTGGGTGATAGCGAGCGGGCCAGAACTTTCCGACAAAACTGCTATAAAAATAAACGCCAACAAAAAATTGTACAACATTTCCTGCCCTATTTGGATCATTGCGGTCTATTGGATATACAAAATTAATTGAAACCCATTAACATAACCTTAAAAAAGACTATGGTAATGCAAATAAATTGCAATGAAAGAAAATTCAAGTACATTTAATTAAGGCAAATTTAATTATGTGATATGAAATTTGTGTTGCTATGTAAAACCTTAGACATATAAGAACCCCAAGGGAAACGGGTGAGCTGCAATACAATACACCATTTCGGAGTAGAGGTAGGAGTGTGAGCTTTGGCTAAAGCTCTTGAATCCCGGATATGAACTGAGACACAAATTGTAATCAAAATAACGTAGTTCATCCTAATTCTTTGTAATATCACAACCGAAGAAATTATAATAATTAAGCAAGACAGATCCATATGAATGTTAGGTGGCGGGTTTCTATGACACCAAAATTCTTTGCCGTTTTAATTTTATGTTTTCTTCTTCTTTATTATGTCTCGTTTGTTCTTCTTTACATGCATGTTCATGTTCGGCGACTTGAGAACGACAATGTTAAACATTCGGTTGAATTTAGCATTTATATCGAAATAATTTGGAAATCACATTTGGGAATTTTCTAACACCAATCCAGAGGTCGGTAGCAGTGCCCGAAATAAGGAAACAATGGAATGCAAAAGTAGTCACAATCGAGTGAGCGAAAAGTCGGCGGTAGCCAAATAATCGGTTGCAAGTGAAAACACAGCCGAACAATGAATGGTGGTTGTGGAGGGAAAATGAGCGCAAATAGTAGAATGAAGTAGGAAAATAGTTGTGATATTAATGAAATGTATACATTTTTTGGATTATAAAAATTTTTACTTATATTCAAATCGAAATTACTCATTACATATTTTTTTCTAGGCTAAATACCACGCGGTGGTAGAACAATAAAAGTTATCTTACTGACAACCAGAAGTTTTCATCTTATGTTTCTCATGTAGAAGTATCATATCCTGTAGAATTTTCTCCTCACAAAAAAGTCCATTGAATACAGAAGAATATATTCTTAATATACTCTTATATATTAGGATCGGGAAAAAAAATCCATTAGGTCGGTCGTCGAAAATGTCGATAAAATCGGAGAAATAGTCGAAGTAGACCGGCATATTAGCCATCGTAACATCGCCCAGGAATCGACTATTAAACTGTTTTAACCCATTTATACAAAGCTGGATATGGCCAAACGTTAAAGTCTCATCTCTCCTGTCAACAACTGGACCGTTTGAAGATAGCAATAGACCAGAAACGGTCAGAATTGGCCAACAGGAGAGGTGTCGTGTTCCACCGGGACAACGCTAGGCCACACACATCAACAGTGACTCGCTGGAAAATTCGGGAGCTTGGTTGGGAAGTTTTAATGCATCCACCATACAGTCCGAACTAGGCACCAAGCGATTATCATCTTTTTCTTGCATTGCAAAATTTCCTTTATGATAAAAAATTTATATTTAGGAAGGATTGTGCAAATGGACCACTAGGGTTGTTTGCAAATAGAGAGCCGGACTACTATGAGAGAGGCATTATGAAGTAACATACCTATAAAATGGCAACAAATCATACAATAATGGAAGTTCAGATAAATCGACTATAAGATCAAACTCACTCTATATAGAGAATATGTCAAAGGTGGCATAAATCAGTGCTCCTGAACAAATTTACTAAATTTTATTTCTATAATTTCATCTAATTATTTTTCTAATTCTAAAATCTTAAATAATCTACGTTGATACTTTATGGCTTGTCTCATTTCTGTAAATCAAGCAATCCACGGCGATCAAATATTGGTAACATTTTCTTCAGGACACTTTGGAATTCTTTATTGGCCGTGAAACATGTGCGGCGGAATTTGCGGGCTCTTTCATTATCATCCAGCAGGCTGTGGATATCGGCATCTTCACTGTTACTGGTTGTCATAATGGAACGATGGGCCAAGATACCAATTAAAGCTGAAAAAATTAAAAAAATATGATTATTCAATAAAATTTCAGAAATGTGAATAATGTCAAACCTACCTAATATACGACTTTCTTCCAATTGCACAGATATTTCATGTAGACTGGGTATGTGACCCTGATAATTCAATTTATTAAGGGTATCACTTAGAACCGAATGATAATATTGAATTAACTTTTCCTCGGTATCATTTTCCATCAATAACTGGGATTCCAAAGAAGTATTGAAGAGATAATGCAAATCAACTGCCACCGATGACCAATTACACAATTGAAAATCAATAAACATTATATCCTTCAGGGACAACTCCTTATCGCCTCTCGACTTGTCATATAACATCATTACGTTGTTGGTCCACAAATCACCATGATTTAGACTATAGAAATTCCATGGACTTGGTGCGTATGCCTTGATGCAATAATCCACAATGCTGGGTGTTAATTTCAATAACTTCTCCGAATAATATTCACCCAATTCGGGGCAGTTTTTGGCAAAGTGTGCCCCCTCCTTAGTGAAATATTCGAAAACACAGCCAAAACCTTTGGTATGGCGATTAAACATGCCATGATCGAATTTTTCCAATATTCCACCTTGACGTTCATTTAAAACAGCAGCGGCCGCATGGAACTTCGCCAACTTCTTCAGACATATTTGGATGTGAGGAAAATCTAAACCTCGCTTGCGATCAGCCATTTCATAACCCTCCACCGTGAGATCTTCAAAAATAATGGTGGAACGTTCATAATCAACTTTAAGGGTTTGGGCAAATAACTTTTCCGTATCACCAGATTCCTTGAGGATTTCGGCTAATTTTGGTAGGATTTGTTCATACATTTTCATTTCCGTATTGTAAATGTCATAACCGGACATTATTTTCGATACCACCGGATCATTTTCATAGGAATATTTCATGATAAAGGATAAGGTTTCGGGTTTCGCACTTCGTTTCCTTGTGAATGATATTTTTATGCGACTCATAACACTGGCATAATTTTCACCATTTGCCGTAGCCGGTCGGATATCCACATTCGTAATAAGCACGGTGTTATCCTTGAGATAATCCTTAATGATTTCTTGTAAATATTCCCTGCTTAGCCATTGCGGAGCTTGCCATACATTGTTTTCACACATAATTTTTTTGTTTTCCGCGAAAGATAAGATCAGAATTTACACGTAAAGAGGACGATCGTGTCTCGAGAATAATCTGACTTTGATAACACTACCACCACTGTGGTGTGGTGCTCCATTTATATATTTTTGCGATATATAATAATTTTGGGATAGTATAATAATGTTTTGCTTAGTAATTTGCCACATCATAAATTGCAGGGCGCACTAATCTTAATTCTGTTGTCTACCATTTTTTTGTTCTTATTTTATGACGACAATTATTTAAATGAGAAAGTAAATAAACCCATGGAGTTTATTTCGTTTCTTTTGTTCGAAATGTTCGCGTGGTAGTGAAATACATTTCCACTGTTGCTTGTGATATTAATTTAGAATTTTTCTTATTTTAGAAAACATCTGGAATTGTTATAATTGAAAAAAAAATGCCTTCGGAAACTATTGCAAAAGTAATAAAAATGTGGTATATCTGTAGAAATTTATTAGAGGCTTTTCTATTTGAAGAAACCCCTTTAAATGTGTATAAACTATTAATCGCCATGGTCTATATATTGAAATCAAATCCCTTCCGCATAAAAAATATTTTAGCTTGAAAATCCTAGGTATGGACACAGAACAATAAAAATTCTTAAATTTGGGAAGACCTTTTTATTGGAACAATGACGAAGAACATGGGTCTTTGTTGAACATTTTCTGCATATCATGCCAAAAAATGCCAAATTACAGTAAATTAGGTTGGAAATTGTACCTAGGACCATCAAAATACTTAAAATGGAGTGTGAACTTTATATGGATAATATATCAAAACATGGATCCATACATTTTCTGAGCTGACTAGATAACCCACTTGTTTATCCCAATACAATATTACAGCCGCTTCAAAACCCTTTAAAATAGGCATATTGGCTTTATATTGGTAGAAACATTTTCAAGCCACTTACAAATAAAATCTAATCCTACTCAAAATATTGAAAATGAGGGAAAATGGGAAATATCGGTCCACTCCTTCATGCACCTCCCCACAAAATGATCAAGATTGTGCTAAAATTCACTACACTATCCGATTTGAACCAAACTTTGTACAACCTATTATTCTTGCCAAGCCTTAATCAAATCCAAAGATGTAAACCATTGGTACCTCCCCCCTTAAGGGTCAAAAATTTCAATATTTATAAATCCAATATCTGGCGAATGGAACGTCAAATTTAAACCAAACTTTGTACAACCTTTTGTTAAAAGGTGATAAAATTCAAAGATGGAACCCATTGGTCCACTCATTCTCATACCTCCCACACAAATGGTCAAAATTTTCAATATTTATAAATCGTATATTAGATCAATGGAATGTCGGATTTGAACCCAACTTTTCACAACCAATTTTCTTCACCAACCCTAGATCATGTCCGAAGGCCTTCTCCTTCAGGCACCTCCCCCACAAAGAATTAATATTTTATAAACTTATAAATTTAATTTGAAGCAATTTGAATAAACGATTTGACCACTTGATGCCAGTAGTAACATTTTAACGATTTTTTACAATTTTCCCTTGTGAAAATAATAATGATGGTTCTTTGTTAGGAAGATACTGGTCAAGGAATGGGCCAATACGTCTGATTTTGGTTTGGTAAAAAAAATAAAATATGCGAAATGTGGTCATATCAAATACTTCCTTCTCAAGATATGATAATTTTTTGTGTTGTTCAACAATTTTAATATTTTGTTGGGAAATTATTCGGATATTCTCCATCTTCAAATTTTGACAAAGCGTTTTGACACATTCTTATAACCACGATAAAGTCACTATTTTTTCCAACAAAATGTAAAAACTTCATTAAAATCACAATTATTTTCTTATTTCGCTCTACATTATCACTATTTGAGCTCATTTGTCCTCTCTCTCACTCTCTCTTTTTGACGAAAACAAATGAGTTCCTCCCAAGGGAAAGCACCACAAGCATCATTCATTGCTCGGCTGTGTTTTGATATCGTTCTCCGCCTCACCCCTTACTTTGTGTTTGTTATTTTTGCAACAGTTTATTTGACTACTGTTTCTGTTGCTAGCAATCGCCTCTCGACCTCTGCATTGATGTTATAAAATTCGCATATGTATTTTCCAAATTGTTTTGATATAACTGCTAAATAGAATATATAAAAACATTTTGATGCAAGCAACAACAACCGAATTTTTAACATTGTAAAATGTTGTTTTAATGGCGCAGAGCATGAACAAGTAAATAAGAAGACGCGAGACTAGACATAACGAAGAGAAACAAAACACAAAATCAAAAGAGAAAATTTAAAACGAGAAATAATTTCTAAGCCATAGAAACCCGTCACCGCCACCTAACACACACAATCGAAAGTTGTTTTTCACTCTCTCTCTCTCTCTCTCTTCCTCTCTGACAAGAAACCTTTATTTAAAGTTTCATGAATTGTGTTCATAAAATGCAGAATTGTCGACATTGGCAAAACTATCTGCACGCTAGTCATATAATATACGAATCTGTTTTTTCTGTTTGATCTTTAATATAATTAAGATTTAATCATGAAAAAATGTCAAGCATTCGAGATGCGAGTGTTTAGACGTAGCATTCATTAAATTTATGATATGAATCTCTGGCCTACTTACATTTAAGAAATATAATACCAAAGTTAAGTGTCTTCAATTCTGAACAACATTATATAACACATCGATAAATCAGATATCCACTTTTCAATGCTGATGTACAAATATGTAAAATACCTATTGTAAAAATAAATTTTCCTATGTAAATTATTTCAATTTATTTAAATATTATTTACACTTTTTAGTTTTAGATTAAATCAAAATTAAACTATTTTTGTAAGTCCAATAATCCAAGTCGATCAAATCGAGGTAGCCAACTCTTAATAATAGTTTGCAATTCCTTGTTTTGAAAGCAGCCCTTTCGAAATCTCCAAGCCCTTTCGTTATCGTCCATTAGGCTGTGGATGTCAGCATCCTCAGTTTGATCTGTGCTCATAATCGTGCGGGATGCCATTATACTTAATAAAGCTGGAAGAGAAAACAAAACGAAAGAACGATTTAAAGAGATAAAAACCACTTACTTTTTGACAAATACTAATAGAAAATGCAGTATTCTTTCCTTTAATATTTTTGATTTTTCACTACTCACCTAATATTCGACTTTCCTCAAATTGCACTGTCAGTTCATGCAGTGTTGGAATGTGGCCTTTGAATTTTAATTTCTTTAACATTTCACACAAAATCGAATGATAATATTGTAAAAGTTTTTCCTCTGATGTCACATCCAACAGGATATCTGCCTGCAGTGATGTATTGAAATAATAATGCAGATCCACGGTAGGTGATGACCAATTACACATTTGGAAATCAATAAACATGATATCCTTAAGTGTTTTACTCTTTTCCAAATCACCATCAGCATCATTATTGTTATATGACATCATAATATTATTGGTCCACAAATCACCATGACTCAAGGTAAAGAAATTTAGAGGGCGTGTGGAATAGGCCCTTACACCATAATCAATGATATGACTAGAGAGATTCATTAATTTGTCATGATAATAGAGCCCCAATTCGGGACAATCTTTAGCAAAGCGGGCACCCTCCTCCATCATATATTCAAAAATGCAGGCAAAACCTCTCGTGTGGCGATTTAAAATTCCATGATCGAAAGCTTCCAAAATACCATTTTGACGTTCATTCAACACAGCAGCTGCGGCATGGAATTTTGCCAACTTCTTTATCACCAACTGGGCATGAGTCCAATCCATACCCTTCTTACGATCAACCATTTCAAATCCGGACACACTTAAATCCTCAAAAATAATGGCGGAACGTTCATAGTCTACCTTTAATGTCTTAGCACATAATTGTTCGATATCTCCAGATTCTTGCAGGATTTCTGCCAATTGTGGCAAGATTTGTTCATACATTTTCATTTCCGTATTATAGACATCATAGCCGGCCATTAGTTTGGATATCACAGGATCATTTTCATAGGAATATTTCAAAATAAACGATAATGTGGTGGGTTCTGTGTTTGTGCTTCTCGTAAATGTAATTTTGATTCGGCTCATAACACTGGCATAATTTTCACCATTTCCTGTAGCTGGTCTGATATCGACGTTCGTTATCTGTACCGTATCGTCCTTGAGATATGTTTGGAGGACTTCCTGCAAGTAGTCATTGCTTAACCATACAGGTGGCTGCCAAGAATTATTTTCACACATTTTTTCACTTATTTTTTATTATTCCGTAATTTGATGTCCCGCCGTTGATGCCCAACGCGTGCCGTTTTTAATTTTCTAGTATTAGCACGTCGAGTAGTCAGCTACTATTTATATGCTGTTGGAAATTTTGCCACATATCACAATAACCTCATTTAAATGTTAGTAATCTAAATTGTTTTATATTTTATTTTACGTCTTAAAATATGACTGCCAAAAAATCTGGGAATTTAAGCAAATAGGCAAATTTTGATGTTTTATCTGTTTTAAGGCACCAGGTGCCATTTGCGAGAGACGCCATAAAGTCTCGAAACACATCGCTTAGCATTATGATAAATAAATGTGATAAAATTACTCTCAATTTTAAACTACATAAAAACTATTTTTAGTAATACACAAGCTCCTATAGCCCTCCAAAAATATTCTTTGAAAATCTGCATGCTTTGGTGATCCTCCAAGAATATTCGCTTAAAATATTTGGGATTTGAAGGTACTCAAAAAATATTCCCGATTTGACCCTCTAATAAAAACTACTTTAACGAGTAAAAAAGTGTCAATCAGTGTTGCCGGCTGCCCTCAGCCTAAGGTTTGCGGAATTACACAAAGATTTTATTATTCGCCTTATATAATCATATGTTTTCATAAAAGAAGTTTCCGATTTAATGTTGATTTAGGGGAGTTACCAGAAGGAGTGGACCAATGGGTCTCATCTTCGGAATTGATCTAGGCTTGGTAATGATATTAGGCTGTGCAAAGTGTACTTCAAATCGGTTATTCCATTCGTATTGAAAATATTAACCATTTGTGGAGTAGGTACTAGAAAAAGTGGACCAATGATATCTTCAGGCTAGATATAGGTTTGGTTAAAATAATAGGATGTGGAAATTTGGGTTAAATCGGACATTATTTTCGGTTAATATTGGATTTGTACAATTTGAACATTTTGTGGGGGAGATACCGAAAGAAGTGGACCAATGACTTTCATCTTTGAGCTTGATCTAGATTTGGTGAATATAATGGATTGCACAATTTTAACTTGAATTAAGTTTGGGGAAAATATTATGATTGAAATCGGTTACGCTCTTCGAGAGTTATCGTGTACACAACCCAGCCTGACAGATAGACGGGCATTTGTAAATCGACTCCAAATTGCCTGAAACTGATTTGATCCAAAGAAAGATAGGGTCTAAAACCAATATTTCATAAGGCACTTTTTGCCACATCAAATGATTTTCCAAAATTTTTTTTTGATTTAATTCGATTCTACACTAATACAAGAATGTCTCTACAAAATTGCAAGTGAAAATCTCAAGAACTCTTGAAGATATAACCGATGTTTGTGTGGTTCATCAAGTGACGGCGTAAAGGGCTTCTCAAACTTTAAACGCGTTTTTCTTTTTTCCATTAACCTTGAGATGTGTTGTGACGTCGGCTTATAATTGTGGCATATAGATCCACTCAAAACAAAAACACACAAAAATTATAACCCAATCGATTTCAAATTTTTACACGTTTCTCTGTGAGTGTATAGCTATCGTATGAACTAGGATGTGTTAAAGCCAATCGGTGAAGATCTTCCTTATTTTTTAACTTGGTTTTTGGCAAAATTGGCGATTTTTCAAAATTCGCGATGTTTTAATACCATCAATAATTACGGCCACTAGAGGTCCGCCATTTTGTTAATTTTAGATTTCACGAAGTCAATAATCCTAGTTCATGCAAAATTTCGCCAGTACATGTACTCTTATAACACCGTTGGACACACATTTTCGTATTCCGATGATCCAGTGAGGAGTTATCATGCCCGCCATCAAAAATAAGGACTTTTTTTAATTACAAAAAACAACAACAAAACAATAACAAAATTTTTTTGTAAATTATTTTTCTTCTTTTTTAAATCTTCAAATATATATGTGCAAAGATGCAAACCTTAACAAGCATTGGTATTGATTTACCAGCCCATTGAAAATCTTGAAAAATTAAAATCGAGAATGGGTGGGGTTCCCTTAAAAGCAATATGTCATGAGGCACTTTTTGCCGCATCAAATGATTTTCCAAAAAATTGACTACCTTTAATGACCCATTAAAAATTGTAAGATCTCCTAGTTGTGGTGGTCCTATAAAACTATTTTTGTAACTCATAACATCTCGTAGCCCTTCAAAAATATTCTATAACCAGTGAGCGGAGTTTGGGCCATAATTACGGCCACTAGAGCGACCAGAAAATCAGACAGAAATATAGTTTTTGGTCCATTTCAGATTTTGGGTATTAAAAACATCGCCTGGAATAATATTTTTCAAAACCCCCTAAATTTGAAGATGAGTGTTAAAAAGTAGCCTTTAAAATTTCGCCACTGAAAATAATTTTTATTCCTTAGTTAAAAAAGTGTATTATTTTATCCTGGCCTGCATCCCTGTTGTTCAATTCTGTAATTAAAGGTTTGAAAACTTTTTGATTTCGGTCGGTAGAGCTTAACGACTAATTTATTTTGGTCGTTAACTTACGGAATATTTTCGTTAATTAACGTAGTTATAGGCAAATGTAAATTTGCAGTTATCGGCAATCGTCGATAATTCTGTCGTTAAGCTGATACAGAATAGCTCTACTGGTGGGTCTTAAAAAATGTTTTGTATACATCCTAGCGTGGGGCGTTGAGCAAATATACCACGTTGCGTTGAAATAGACACCCCATAAATTTGAATTTCGATTATATGGTTGTCGTCTAACATTCTGTACATCATCTGTTATTATGAGATATATCAGACAAAGATGATGATATATTTAGACGTGTTTATATCTAACAAACAAGATAACATAACTATCGTGCGTACAATAATGACTAGGAAAATTTATAAAATTTTTAATTCAAGTATATAACTATATGATCTATATTTTATATAGACTCTTGCCACTGTACCATGCTTAAAGATTAGATATTCACTTGGTAACCTATATAATTGTCTAGGAAGATATGGTCCATAAAAAATTAGTATCTCAAAATGATAAAAATAATAAAATCGTGAGGTTTTTTTTTGGAATCGGCTACCATAATACTATTTCGACATATGGGACGTGGAGCTGATCTTAAATCATTTATAATTAGTGTAATAAGTCTAGAAAATCGTAACGGTGATTTAAATCCATGTTTTCTCATATTGAGATATTTAGAGATTTGGGTTTGATTTGTTTCAAAGATATTATTAAGTGGTATTAATTTTGTTTGTGGCTTTGTGCCCCTAAACATAATATAATATTTAACGTAATATGTTTTGAAAACTTTTCTAGAAACCCAGATTTGTATCAGAACCTAAAATGGATTTAAAACACGTTCAATATAAGCGACTCGAATTAAAATACATATTTGGAATATTTACTAAAGATTTTATTTTTCTAATTGCGAATATTGTCTACATTTTTATTGTCCTTTTTCGTAGTTGTTTTCTAGCCTAGTTCCAAAATTTTTTATAAATATGACAAACGCTTAATCCAACATATCTAAATATCCCAAACGATCGAAGTGTGGCAACATAACCATTACAACACTCTGCACCCGTTTATTTTCATACAAAACTTTGCGAAATCGTCGAGATTTTTCATTGTCCAGCAGAATGCATTCAAAATCGGCATCTTCTGTTTGATCGTTGGTCAGCAATGGGAGATTCGCCAATAAAGTTGCAACAGCTGTAAAAATAAATTATAAAATCATAATAATTTCACTTTGCCTCAGAAAATCCCATTCAGCCTATAACATACCCAGAAATCCTCGTTGCAGTAGTTGAATCTGCAATTCATGCAGGGTGGGAATGTGTTGCTTATATTTTAATTTCCTCAATGTTGTCGACAAAACTTCATGATAATATTTTATAAGATAATCCTGCTTGTGAAAAAGTAAATCATCCGCCAATGAAGTATTGAACAAATAATGCAAATCCACAGCCGGTGATGTCCAGTTGCAATATTGGAAATCAATAAGTAAAATATCTTTAAGCTTCTTCCCCTCCTTGGCATACTGCATCATGAAATTATTTGTCCATATATCACCATGATTGAGAGTTAAGAAATGGCCCTCTTTCGGATCATAACATTTAGTGGTATTTTCCACCAAATGAGGTACCAAACGTAATAATTTCTTTGTGTAATAATCTCCCAATTCCGGACATGTTGAACAAAATTCAGCACACACCTTAGTGACTGCTTCAAAGAACCCACCAAATGCATTAACATGGCGATTGAATATTCCCCTTTGATATATTTCCAAGGTGCCACCCAATTTCTCATTTAACACCGCAGCAGAGGCATGGAATTTGGCCAATTTTCTCAAGCACAAGTGCATGTGTTCTTCATCCAAACCCACCAAACGATTGGCCATAACAAAGTGTTTCACTGACAAATCTTCAAAGAAAATTGTCTTCTTTGAATAATCCACATATAGGGTCCTGGCAAACAACCGATCCTCATCTCCAATATCCCACAGGGATTTTTGCATTTGTGGCAACACCTTTTCATACATTTGCATTTCCGTATTTAAGACATCGTATTGTTCCAAAACACTGGCCAAAAATCCGTCATTTTCAAATGTCGTCTTATACAGGAAAGTTATTTCACAAGGATTTTCGCTAAGAGGTGTCGTATACAAGGCCCGAACACGATTTATAACACTCGAGAAACTTTCTCCTTTGGCTGTTGCGGGTCGCACTTGCAAATTTTGCAATTTTAATTCATTTTCATTTAAATATCGTTTTAATATTTTTACCACGTAGCTGTCGCTTAACCAGTCCGGCCGTTCGATTTGTTCCGTTGCGCCGCTCATTGTTTCTGTGCACTCAGTTTACAACTATTTCGAACTACAATAACTAAACAATTGAGCAGTAATCTAGCGTGGCGCTTCTATTTATTTCAATTAAGATAACGACGAATATCGAGTGTGCGGCAATGCATACCCTATTGTCGGGATAGTATAGAGGACATCTAGATATATTGATCAAAGAAAAAATCCAGTGAAATCCAGATCGTGTTTAGATAGAAGCTCGTTTTAATGGACATACAACGAGAAACTTTAAAGGTCTACTAAGGAAAAAAATTTAAATGCATCCAAAGGAAATAACTTTAAAGGCTTCATAAGGATAGACGTCTCAAAGATTTCCTTCGATAAAAAACCGTATAAAAATAATTGTTCAAAAATAAAAGCTTAAAAATTTAATTGTGTATTGAAAAATATTAAAAATAAAAGAAGTCCATGCTTAAAGCTCCGTAAGATGTAGAAAAATCAACGCTTCAAAGCTTTGTTTGCTATTTAACACATAATGAATTCATAATCGATCCTTTGTTAAATCTTCAAAAATATTTGTTAAATAAAATGTTGCTTCTCTCAAAGACCCATATTTCATGGTCCCTTATATCAGAATTTCTCACCTGCTGTAAGGGCTTCTTTAGTTTACCTTTACCTCACATAATATATTTATTATATTGAATTATCATCTACTATTCAAACAATGAAAAACAAATTATTACCTCTTATCATTGTCAAGTACTCTTAGCCAGTGATGAAATTCCGAACTACCTCCCCTACTGATCAGTGGCGTAGCTACATGTTATATATTTTCAATATATATTTTCTTTTTTTGAACGAAAATTTTATTTTAAAGATACATCTGTTTTATTGAAAAGCATGCATCAGAATAAGTGAATGTAGTTGGAATTCGAGTAGTAATCTAATAAACAGACATATCATATATTTTCAATACACTTACACTGCTGAACATCATAATATGGTGCTTGGCATATGAGTCGTTTATTTTGAAAGTGAGTTAAGTCAATTTTTTCTTATATTGAGATATTTAAAGGTTTTGGTTTGATTTGTTTCAAAATTATTGTTAAGTGGCATTAATTTTGTTTTGTTGATTTGTGCCCTTAAACTAGATAGAATATATAAAGTAATATACTTTGTAAATTTTTCCAGAGAACTAAACTTCGTATCAGAACCTAAAAGGGACTTAAACAAACAATGACAATTTTTTGATAAATGTGTCTTGGGACCCATGTTCAAATCGGACATTTCTTCGCCTGATATTGGATTAATAAATACTGCAAATCAGAAGGACTGGACCCATGGGTCCCATTTTCGGACTTGATCTAGGTTTGATAAATAGAATAGGCTGTGCAAAGTTTTACCAAAAGGAGTGGACCGATATTTCCCTTCTTCGAACATGAACTAAGTTTAAAAAAAATATTACGATATGCAAAGTTTGGATGAAATCGGTTACTCCATTTGAGAGTTATCGTAAATCGACTCCAAAATGTTTGAAACGTATTTTGTCCAAAGAAACATGGGTCCAAAATAGGGATACACAGTCGAGCGTGACTTTTCAAAATTTGCCTATGACAAATAAGTCTATTTTTAGACTTTTACATTTTTGCCAATGGATAAAAAGTCGACTTTTGGACCTTTCGGTTTTGTCAAACGTGTTTTTAAAAACGATTTTCGAATTTTACCGACAAATGCAAAACTGACAAAAACTTGATTTTTTATATTAATTGTTGTCAACAGATAAAATAAAGTTCTGGAATGTGTAAATTTTGGACAATTTGGGCTTTGTGATAATAAACAAACTATTTATGAAGAAAATCAAAAGTCGATCTTGAAAAGTCAACTTTGTGATTTTTTTCAAATTTTTATTTCAATTTTTAAATGCAAATTTTATTAATAAAATACTGTGCGAGAAATAGTAGCAAACATAAATGCTGTACGATGGTGCCATCTAACGGAGTGTAGTAGTAGTTTGTTTAGTCGATTTTATGACGTTCGTGTACTGTACAATAGTTAACTTGATGGTGACTATTTTCATAAAAGCCAAGTGGTTTGGAGACATGATTGAAATTACCAAATAATGCAAATTATTAGTCAGGGCCGATACTGACATTTTTTATTAAGAACGATTTGCTACCCAATGAGAAGTGCCAATATATATTACTACAGCTTTTTTGTTTAAATGAGACTTTTGAACCCTTGAGCCCCTATTTTTTCCGTGACCATTTGCTATTTGCTTAACGTATATTTAATGCAACTATCCTAAATAGGCTAGGTTATAAACACAATTTGACATCGTTATACCCTTACAATATCGACGAAGAAATCACTTTTAATTATTCTTAAGGTTATTTTTTGCAAGAATCAAAAAATAATTCTAAGGTACAATTCGAATACTAAACGATTAAATAATTTGCATTGTATACACAAATCGGTACTGTACATATTTTTTGGCATCAACTGTACATTGAAATACGCATAATTTAACCCTTTGTGGCCCAATGTTGCCCACAGGCAACCAAATGTTTTATAGCTTATATTTAATGTACAGCTAGTATATATGTATTATTTGGATTTCATATATCAAGACCTGATTATGGACGACACATATCAAAAGAAAAATCCAAAAATTTTGGTAAAGTTATGAGCTTTTCAATATAGAGAAGAGGGTAAATTTGTGTACAGGGTGAATTTGTGTGCAGTAATCGCTTCGTATTCGTATTGTACGAATTCTGTCATCTGAATTATTATTGATTCTTGTATAGCGAATAATTTTTAAATTCGACTTTGTATTTGGTTTTCTTGATATTGAACCTTAATTTAAACCGTAAGAATGTAGTGTATCACCCGAATCCAAGGATGTAGCGATGTCAAATTTTGTGCAAATCCTATTCAGGATAGTTGCATTAAATCGGTTTAAATGGTTAACCAAAATTATGATTTCTTAGATTTTTCTTTTTATATGTGTCCTACAGTACCAGGGCCTAACTTATGTAAAGCCAAAAAAATAATGTTTAGCTTCCTATTAAATATAAGTTCTCAAACATTTTGTTGCCTGTGGGCCACAAAGGGATACCCTATAAAAATTATTCATTACACATATGCTTGCAAAACAATGAAGACATATTCTCAATAACCTTATTAACGCATAATAGACATCATGAAAAATGTCAAGATATTTTTTCTATTTTTCAATAAGTACTTCAATAATAAATAATTAACATATGATTTAATAATAGAGTAAAATATTGACAATTCCTTGCAAATTATAATAAATTTGTTCATATATTTTGTGTATCATTCAATATTCAATTTATATGTATCTCCACAGCTGTGTTAATTTTTTAAATATAATTTCATTTAAACATTTTTATTAACCCTTTGAGCCCCGAATTTTTTCCGTAATATTTCTGTTCATAGATTTAATGCAACTATACCAAATAGGATATGCACAAAATTTGACATCGCTACATCCTTGCATTCGGGAGATACAGTATATTCTTTCGGAAAAATTAAAGTCCAATATCACTGAATAATCATTTTAAATTATTCTCTATATTCATTTTTACAAGAATCAAAAATAATTCTGATGGCAGAATTCGTACAATTTGATTACGAAGCGATTTAATAATTTGGACTGTATACACAAATTAGTACTGTACATAAATTTACCCTCTTCTCAATATTGAAAAGCTCATAACTTTACCAAAATTTGGGATTTTTTCGATTTTTCTTTTGATGTGTGTCGTCCATAGTCAGGTCTTGACATATGAAATACAAATAATATATATTTACTAGCTGCATATTAAATATAGGCTCTAAAACATTTTGTTGCCTGTGGGCAACATTGGGCCACAAAGGGTTAATCGTAAAATAAATTACCAAATAATCAGATAGCGTCAATGTAAACGTTAACTTAATTAGGCACTAAATTACATATTTTGTAAAAAAAAAAAAACTTACCCATCCATCACAACACTGATATCTGCGCACACAGTTGATGTCCCAAAAAACAATCACAAAAGTAAATGAGAGTTAAAAGTACACCCAAATGAGACTCCCCTCTATGCTCTCCAAAAAACCACCAGCATACTCTTTGACACTTGACCGACCGACAATCAAACACAATATTAAACGAACCGAATTGCAATGAAACGCAACAACAACGACAAATTACCGAAAGAAGATTACGGAAACGCACTAAACAACAACAATTCAAATCATTCATTCTTTTATTACACACACATACGAGCTTAATGGCAAAGAAAAGGCCAACAATTGCAGTGTCACTGCATTGCCAAAAAAGAAACACAAATTATGCAGAGATTTCATAGGAAACACTTTAATTATTATCAATAATAATTATTATAAACTATTTAATACCCTTTATTTTACTATTTTCACAATTTTTCAATTTATATTTCCTTTAATTTTGCAATAAAACGTTTGACGAACACATTTCGCGACCGTCCGATGTGAAATCGAATTAGAACTAAGGGAATAGGCAATTAGGAACAACGCAACGATGTAGAAACGACATAAAACGACCCGAATTGGTATGAAGGGCAACAACAACGAACCGAATGATCAACAACAATGCAACGAAAACATTCTCTCACTACACACACATACGAGCTTCACGGCATAGAAAAGGCCAACAATAGCTGCGTCATTGGTTTGCCAAAAAAAAAACACTATTTATTTAATGATTTTCTTCAGAAAACTATTTAATTTTGCAATTATTTTATTACTCGATAATAAATATACCATAATTCACACTTATTTTATGTCATTAAATGTTATATATCCTTTAATTTCCGTAAATACGATTAACAAACAAAATTCGCGACCGTCCGTGCTGAAATCTAATTAGAACTGAAGGAAGGAGCAATTAGGAGTGGACGGTGTTGCCAATGCTAATTAATAGTGCACTTTTTGTGTAATGCTGCCAAAGGAAAGGGACTAAACCAATAGTGCACATGCAAGACAACATTGGAATATGAAAATGTCACCTAATAATGAAATTTTTATTAAGTAATAACTATGTTATTTATTTATTAACTATGTTATTTATTAAGAATTATGGTACGTGGGTGCCATCTAACGGAGTATAGTGGTAACTTTGTTTAGTTGATTTCATCTCCATTGTTATGGCAATTGTGTACTGTACAATTATTAACTTGAAGGTGACCATTTCGCTCTTAAACATAACCAGAACCATTTAAATGCAGTGAGTAACAGTCAAATTAATCCACTGGTGTTTTTTTTATAATAAAATGCCGTTAATGAATGAATATCTTAACTTAAAATTAATACAATAAAATAAATAATATTTATGTGAATTTAATATAAAAAATTCAAATCAAAAATCAAAAGCAATTGCAAACTCAATTGTATATTGAAGATAGATAATTTTTTTACAAACGGATTTTTTGAATGGTTAACAATTAGTATGATATACCTTGTTATCTTTTAAAGTTTTCAACTTTGCCGGCATAGATTTTACCAAGTTTTCCGTCTAAGATGTCTAAATTTTCCCAATTATATTTGTAAAAAATATTTTCAAGACTTGGTATGCTTGAGATGTTATGGCTTCTAATATTTTTCTCTAAAATTCTCCATAAGTTCTCTATAGGATGCAAATCCGGGGTCTGAGGTGGTGTTTGAATCACATTTGGACAATTATAAAGCATCAATTCTCTAACGATCTGAGTCTTGTGTTTTTGGTCAATGTCCCTATAAAATTGAAATGTTGTCCCCAATCCCAATTTTCCAGCACTATTTAAATACATCTTTTCCGTAATTCCTTCATTAAAACGAAATTTTATACTCCAGCTTCGTCCATACTGTCCCATACCATTACAGAGCCTCCTCCGTGCTTTATGGTTGGGATTGTGTGCCTAGGGTCCATGGCTTTATACGGGCTGCGCCATACCTTATTTGGTCCATCCAACCCAACTTGTCGGAGCAAACACAATTCGTCTTTTATTTTGAATATTTTTTCTCGTTGGTTTTCGGCTTGTTTCAAATGCGATTCTCGGTTTTGTGAACATCAAAATGTTTTGTTGGACAGCAGATCGGGTAATACATATTGAGTATTTCCGTTCATATGGTGAAGAACTAAATTTCTTTGGACAATCGTTGTGTGGCGTCCCATGGTCTAAATTCCTCACGATTGCTATACAAATAAGCAAAAGTTATTTGGTTGTAAATAATACCGATGGATACTTTTCACAGTGATGTTGTAATTTCATTTTTAATGCTGAATTTATATAAATATTGACTATTTTATTTCAAATTCCCAAATTCCCAAAATATCCAAAATATAGACATATATAAAAAATCCAATTGGCCTTTCTTAAAAAATATTTAACATTAGACTTGAGAAAAACAGCTTAATTTCTCTAGCTAGGTGATCTTATTAATAGATCTTGCAGTAGTCCATTCGGTAAACTTATATAATATGTTTATCCAATATTTCAAGGTGCTACACCTGAAATTATAAAATTGTAGCAATTAATTCATTTTTTATTTTTCTTTTACTTCATTTCAAATTATTGAATTTTTATAAATTTCCTTTATTTCTACACACCTGTTTTCCCCAATTTACAAGAATTTTCTAATTTACCCAATATGGCAATGCTGGGATCGTGTACTTTGAATGCACTAACCAAACTGGCATCACTGCAATTCAAAATACCTTTCATTTGCGGCTAATACAGCGAGAGAGAGAGAGAGAGAAAGAAATAGAGCAAGAGAGATAGTTGATTGGCAGCATTTTTTTCCATTACTCTCGCGGGCCAACAAACCGAATTAACAAATTCTCATTTAGATATTTCCAACGGTTGAAAGCGCAAACAACGTCGACGGATAAATTTTACGAAAGAAAAAGAAGAAACAAAAAAAAAAAAAAAGAGTTAACGTGTGTGCGTCCGTTTGTGTATTGAAGCAACAACAACAAAATAATGAAAAATTGTTGGTAGTTTTTTATTTTATTTCTATTGTTAACCATTGTAAAATTTACAAATAAATAAAATAACAAAATGCAAATGAAGTAGCAAAAGCCAACAAGCAACAAAGTGAAAACCACAACACAACAACAAATAGCAATAACGAAATCAAATAAAAAGAAATTAAAGTGCAATTTCATTGTAAGAAAACCCCCCAAAGTAAGAAAAAAAGAAGTTGCAATCTAATTCAACAACGAAGAAGAAGAAGAAGAAAAATCTAAAAATTTTCGCATACCTTTGCACTGAGGCGGGCGACGACGACGACAAAGTTTCATCAAAAGCCGAAGTCAGTAACAACTGCGCGCCGTTGCGCAGGCCAAGTTAGCGAACCCAGGTTGTTATTTGGCAAAGTTGTGTGCATGTGTGTGTGCGACGAGTGTCTGTGCGTATTTTTCATTTGATATTTCGTTGTGTGTGCCAGACAAGGATAGCAAGTGTGTGACTAACTAAAGCGGAGTTGAGAGTTGAACAAAACAAAAGAGCAACAAAGATCGTGGATTCCAATGTGAGATTCGAATAAAAACAACAGCAACCACGACGACGACAACGCAACTTGTTTGAAGAAAAAGAAGAAAAAATCAAGAAACAAAACATAGAAGCAAAATAGAAAAAAGGAAATTGCGAAAAGTGAAGTGTTTTACAAGAAAAAAAATATTAAAATTTTTTTTAAAGAAGTGCTAAAAACAAAAAGGTTGAAATTATTAGTGATTTTTTTAAACAACAATTGACCATTCTCTCTACTTTACTCTCATCAAGTGAAGTGGCTCTTCTCTGTGCAACAACAACGACTGTGACAAGATTTCAGTAATCAACCCAATTCTCATAACAAAGGCGGCCTAAACACAGCAACCACGAGATTTTATAGATCACCAAACGAAAAGCAGCAACAACAACATTAATTCACAATCCAGGTAAAATATTTTTTTATTGTTATTAAAACAATCTTGCCGTTGTTCTTGTCTGTCGTTGTTCATTTGAATTCCAGGTAGCAGCAACAGCAAAATATTCATAATTCCAATGAAATGATGATAAATAAAACAGAAGACAACAACTACAACAACAACGGAAAATATTTTTGTTATTGTTGGTATGTGTATAATTTGTTGTTCTTTTTAAAGTGTGTAGTACTTGATTAAGGGGTATTTGGGGGAACGGTTTGTTTTAATTCACTTGGTTGTGAGATAGCGCCACCAGTACTAGGCTGACGTCAGAGTGCGCGCGAGAAGCGATGCTATGATATGCCGCTAGACGACGCTATAAACCTCTGCGTGTGTTTTCTTATGGCATAGCGCAAAAGCTGTCAGAGTGGATGCTACGCTACAAGCGAGACAAAGCGAGTGCAAGCGATAAAGCGTGTTGTGCAATGGTTTATAGCAAGAGCTCGCTTTGGCTCTGTTTGAGTTTCTTTGTTTATTATTTTTATTTACCGTTATTGATCGGTTTTTGGCATCGTTCTTTTGCATCATATCGAATTTTAATGGCGTGGACCAATCTGTCGGGATTTTTGTGGACTCAAGTCCAAATCTAATTAAATAATAATAAAATAATTTGGAAAAAATAAGGGAAATCGATGCAGAAATATTTGTTCATTACATGAATTTTCTTTAAAAAATTACTTTGAAAATATTTTGTGATATGAAAAATTCTTCGTCGGAATCCTTCTTGAGTCAATAAACACCAGTTTACAACAGAAATAGGCGATATAAACCAACAACACGCTTTGCTCTCTATAGCACTCACTCTGACATACTACAGCATTGAAGTAGCATGAACTATTATAGCATGTAGTATCGCATCGCTTCTCGCTTGCACTCTGACGTCAGCCCTAGGCTTTTAGTCTGGGATATAAACGCCAATAGATATTGGAGGTAAATTAATTGTATTCAATTTGTGTTTTTTTCGAGGCTTGGTAAATTTACTTCAATAGTAAAAAGAAGGATTTTCGTGACTTTGGAGTCCCATATCTCGGGAAGTATTCACATCCCCTAAAAACAAGTTGTTGTTGTCAGAATAAAAAGGAGTTTCTATGGTAAAAATTTCTTCAGGGTCACCTCTCAGAAAAATATGAATTTTTTCCATGGGTAGCTTTTTGTTTCCTCATTCAACATCATTTTTTTGTCTCAATTTTGACTAAATATTCATTCGAAAAATTTGTTTTATTGGCTACCTCCCCATAGGCAGATTCCAGAACCGGCTACGGGACAGAATCTCCTTTAAAATAGAATAGTTTGTAGTGTTGCCGGCCATCAGCATGGAGCAGATACCAACCCTTCACAGTATTTAGATTTAGTCCTGTCTTTTTTAAGTACAATATCTTCCACACGAAGTAAGATTGAAACCAGAACGGGGTTGCGCTCGGTCGGTTTTTGACGATTTCGTGCATTATTCGATTGTAGATTCCAAATGTTGGCCATTATTCAGTACATTATATTATTAGCAATAATGGCGCCCAACATAGGGCACTGACTTTCGTTACTTTGGGTTCCTTTTTAAAGAAATGACCTAATTGTTGGAAAAATTTCATTTATGTCGATCTGAATGGTCATATAATGGAGCCCAATGTGGGGTACTACCAATATGATTTAGTTTATTTCGTTGAAATACAATCATGCAACAAAATCTGTGATCAGCGTGGGGCATTGTAAATAATGACAAATATCAGAAAATATCGGTTAAGCAGTTTAGATAGAAGTTTCTACATTATTAAAAGTGGCGCCCAACGCGGGACGCATATATTAAATAGATACAAATATATATAACTAAAAAATATATTTAAGGTTGTCTGATTAGCGTCGAAGATAATTTAAGAATTTAAGTACGAATGTTTAATTCATGATTAATTGACAAGTTTTCCTGGGTTCTCAATGAGCTAAAAATTGTATATTAAGATCTACATTTAGGAATACCTATTAAGCTATCTAACATGTTATATGTATCTTGAATGTCCTACGAGATTTTGGTGACGGCATTTAAATTTGATTGTTTGTTTTTGGTATTTCCGATATATAGGTCTTATATTGTCTTATACCACACTTTTAAAGAAAAAAAAAAACTGCTATATATGAATTTTTATTGCAGTTTATTTTCGACACGACATAAAAAATAATAATTTGGTATTTTATATCTTTAAAAGTCATAATGATTTCAAGAATGTATATTTATATATGAAAAAGAGTTTCGATCGCATTTGCAGGTAGTAACCAAAAATAATCCATATGTGAATCGATAAATACTTTCGAATAAGGTATCTTCGACATTAAATCTTATAACAAATAATCTAACCAAAGGTTTCCAAGCTCCCAAATACCTGTACTTACTTTATTTATTTCTCCTGTATTAATTCTCTCCATCAATCTTGATAATATTCCTGCATTCTTAAAACAATAGCATTAATCCAAAAAGACGACAATTTCACCGACTGTCAAATACAAAATAAATATTATTTTCATTGAAAACCGCCAATCAGGTAATCTGAGAGCCTGACTTTAAACCTCAACAATGGTTTCGGCCAACAATGTTTTGTTTCACTTCTTTTATTTTTTGTTTGTTTTGGACCCGACCCGCATATATCCTTTTATTTTCACTTTACTGCAGACAAACACAAAAGACCTGTCCGTATGTCCGGCTTAAATGACATGAATTATTACATAAAAAACGAGAATTCTTCAAATTTACTTTGTCAGCTCTATGGCCAACGACGATTATCCTTTCAACAATGAAAACAACAAAAATCAACCCCTAATTTGGATAGTTCGCTTGTCCATTGAGGTGTAGTAGTAGGAAGCCCTGTTTGTAATGCTTGAGTGGTCTTTGGTCTTAACTGGAAAACCAACAATTTCTTTCTCATCGAATGTCTGGTCGATTGTCGCCCCTCAAAATGTTGCAATACTCTCTGCCGCCAACACTAAATACATCGATTTTTGTTGTTGTTGCTGTGTCCTCCCTAACCGATTTTTCGTTCATTGTCACTGGGCTTTTTTTGAAGGCATTTTTTCTCTTTGTTTGTTGTTTTGTTTTCTTTCCAAGACCATTGAATGAAAAGCCAAGGAACTTCAATAAAATGAACGTTAATTCAATTCGTAACGGCGGGATGTGGTTGCAACAACAACACCAACAACAGACGAACAATTTGTATAGTACTGAGGAGGTGGAGGAGGAAAAAAAGTGGTTAACTGACGACTGCCTGGTTGACTGAATTCAAGTTGTAGAATTCATTAAAATGGGTGCGTCTGTCTCACAAGGCACGTCCGTTTGTGCGCCGTCGCACATTTGCGACATCAAGCGAGTCTTAGTCGTCTTTGTGTTCTTGCCTGCTTATTCACCTAAAGGTTCTTTATGTTTATTTTTATGTTTTGTTTTTATTTTTAGCTTTTGTTTTTCTTCATGGCATAGGCTTCTTGCTCACCTTCAATTCAAATTTTCCATAGGTGCATTTATGTGCTGCAGCTTAAGTCACGGCCTCACACAAGATTTCAATACATTGACTCACTTTTGCGTACGTCCATTTGTCTGCCTCACCCATATTTTTTCCTCGCCATCTTTTCCACATTCTTCTCGGCATGACTACTAGCTGGCTGTGACGTATGTAAGATACTTAACCTTTTTCTCAACTCTTCTTTAAACACCGCCGACACCATGGAATTTCTCGTTTGTTTTCAATACCTGTTTTCCCATTTTCCCTTTTTCTCCGTTCTTTATTTTGT